CCTCACATCCTCTTCTCTATCTTCGTCTCCATCCACTCCGTTCTGAAGGCAGCCGCTGCTCCTCCTGTCATAAAAGAAAGCACATAGGCGATCTTTCTCTTATCATCCGCGAAATACTCCTCATCATCCTCATAGTTTAGCATTAAGGCCTCGCGGAAAGCCTTATACTTCTTTCGGTCTCCATCGAAGTTCTCAGGCTTCTGGAGTGCCGTTCTCATTCTGTCTACGCGTCTCGGCTGCGTGCTGGGTGGCTTTGGTGCGGATGCGGCGGGAGCGGACGTAGAAGAATTCGACGTAGCTAACCTCAGCTTGGCTAGCAATTCTTCTACTTCTTCTTTCGCCTCTTTCAGCTGCGTTTCGTAGAGATCGTGGAGCCGTCTCTGCTCCTGTTCTATTCTGGTCTGAACGTACTGTTCCAGTCCAGCTTCCTTCAATGTTGGTGCTTGTGGTTCCAAGGGTGGGAGTGCACCTGACAATTCTCCCATTCCTATCTCTGGTGTGTCCGGCTCTTCGCGCGGACCTCGCCACTCTCCGTACGCTTCTGTCGTCATGGTCTGGGTAGGGGGTGTGGTATTGGGTTCTAATTGGTTCTATTTCTGGGAATGTGAAGTAAATTTCCCAAGCTAATCTGTTCTCAGAGTGAAAGTGTTCTTCTGCTAGCCACTCTTCGAATTTCCCAGGTTGCATACAAAAGAGTTTCCCGATGATAAGTCGGATTAACACTTTCTAATGTAAGATCAACCGGTCTATCTGTTTCCTTCTTTAGTCAAGCGGTTCCTCTTCTGTCCCGCACTGACTATGTACGTAACTAATTCTATCTGATATATTGGTGTTCTAAAGTATAGTAACTGAGGTCCAGACGGTTGTCTCAGTGATACCCAGCGAATAACCGCGTGCAGGTCTTTTCCAACTGGCGGACTCAAGTGAGCGGCCTGGTCAGAAGGGTAAAGAAGCTCTTCTAAACTAAGTAATACCTATCGGGCTCCACGCCGTCAAGGGTTCTAGCTAAAGGGTTGGAAGGGGGAGTGAGGGGGATATCGACAAACGACTCTGTGGGTGAGACGTTGGCAGGAAAAAATGAAGCAATGGTAGATGGTCGGGTGATAGGTGTGATGATGATTGGTTTAGTGATATAGACGTAGAGTTTGGCAATGCCAAAGAGTATGATTGCGATGAGAGGGAATAGGGTGATGATTAAGATAGCTGTGCTTTTGCTCATCAACAGGTGTCGTCCTAGTTGTAGATTATGTAAAGACCCTAGCTGTTATGCCGGTAACCCGAGCAGCGTAGGACTTAAATCACACAACAAGTGTTTGACAAGCAAGTATAAGAGTAAATCTACAACTAGGGTATGTACATGGATATCGTGCTAGTTATATAGAAGAAGGCATGAGGCTACGGTGAGGTATGACGTAGTGTATTGGTAAGTAACATGTGTAATGCGTGAGGCTGATTGGTAATGAGTATTACTAATGTGTCACGTGATTACTAGATAAGATAAGATCAAAGAGAGATTAGATTAGGTGAGATAATAGTCTCTATCTCGCGATTAGATAAAAAAGATGAGTCATGTGGATACGATCGTGACAACAACAGTATTCTTAGAATATCTCCACTTTTTTGCTTATTGATAGCATAGCCACAACACAGTATGTGTAACCACCAAGATAAACTCTGGCGCACACAGGAACACTCTATAAAGAAAAGAGAAGAGGGAGTGGTTACCCTTTAAGATGCAGTGAGTTAGTTGGTATACAACAGGAGGACTCACTGAGGAGTCTCCATCTGTTACAATAGACATTTCCAGCATGACATTCCAAGTAAGCCAAGAACTACACATAGAAACTAGTCTATGGAGAAAAGGTAGTAATGTGACAAGCATATCCTTCTTCTCCACTAACACATCATACTCTGTGATCATTGTAGTTCCTTCTTAAAAGTACTCTCTTGTTTTTTTTGTGCTCCATATCACATATGCCTATCATCCTCAACAACCCGAACAACATTGTTCCACCCAACTTTCAAGGTGATGAGTATAAAGAAGCAAAAGTGGAACTTACAAACAATTTAATGGACAATGGACAAGCAGCGCTAATCATGACTAACCTCTGGACTATCTATAACAACAAGGAGGAAATTTTGTGGGCATGTCAGAGAGAAGCAAAAGAGTTAGCAGAAGAGAAGGTGCAAAACAATGCAGAGGCTAGCAGACAAGCAAGATACAGCATATCTAGAAGAGTGGAAGAAGAACAAAACCAAATATGCACTGGTAAAGGATGTAGACATTCCTTTTGGACCCGTCATAATTCCCACACAGTATGCCACATGCAAAATAAAAGCAGGTGGGTATTGCAAACTCCACTACTTCACAAATAGAGGACTGGAAGATGCATCCCATGCAATATTGTCATCAGACCCAGAAGCACCAACCATGATGCCAGGCCCTAATGAGCTACATACCCGGACACCGGTGTCGATGATGAGAACTGTTGTTAGAAAACCACACACAAAAACAAACTAACACACAATCCTCCCAGATTCCACGGAACTTGTTTATGGGCTTTGCCTCCTAGAACAGTGGGTGCTCTGGTTGTTCGTGGGGTGGTATGTATAAGGGTCCTTCAAAGTAAAACCCAGAGATGTATGGGTGTGGGTTTTGAGGAGGAGGGATAGTTGGACTATAGAAAGATAGGGGCTTTGTGGCGAGTATAGACGAGCACTACCTTGCTAATGGTAGCACAAGGTAGGTTTGAGAACAACAAGGATGACGAGGTGACGAGGTTCCCAGTGATAGCAGGCTCCTGACGCACAAACTGTAGTGCTCAGAAGGACTCTAATCGAAAGGGATAACAATGACTTCAAAAGTGGGAAGTGACGATGACAGCAGTTGACAGTGGTAGAAGTGGGAAGTGTTGTGACCACACTGGATCACAAGTAGCAGAGAGTAATGAACTTGAGATTAGAGAAGAAGTCTGGATTGGAGTTCTTGTTGTTTTACAAGGTAAAATACAGGGGTTTATATAGTAAAAGAAAAGTAGGCTATGCACAGTATAGCTATGCAAAAAGAATGAGAAAGAATATGAAGGAAGGAATGTATGCTGACGAATCCTGCGTAGGTAGTACAGGATAAGATTGTCAAAAAAAAGGAAAAGAAAGGGATAGAACAATAAATGCTGTGAGTAATGTCACAGGTTTGTACAGCCATAAAGTAAAGTCCAATAGCAAAAAGAGAGCAGGAAAATCATGATGTCATGGGAAGATGCAGTAAAAAAAGGCAAGGCAAAACACTATCAGTATCAACACAGTTCCTTTATTGTCAGTCAGGCATTCTAAAAAGTATGTGTCCATAAAAATGATTCAAAATTCAAAAATAATTGCACTGTAAATGAATGTTCTGCTGAAGAAAAAGAAACTGGAGCCACCGGTCCACCACCTAGTCCAAATCTGACAGTTCCATGGCCTTACCAATGGACTGGTTGTGTTGGACCACCTGATCAAACGAGGGAGGGAGAGGAGTAGTTCCAATTTGGAACAAGTGAGTCCCAGGCAGCATGTGATAGGTGTAGCTGTAGCGAAGACGATGGACAAAAGATAAGTGTACCCAAGTGAATGGGACAGCGATGAACATGGGCGACACAAGGGGATGAACCTTCTCCAGCTCAAAAACTACCCACCCACGCTCCAACCAGGCGAGATGAGCGACCGATGTTTTGATAGTATATAATGGTAGATCGACGTCATAAAGATGGACCTGTTGCCCTATTTGAACCGGCCGCTGGGGCTTTGCTGATATCAGCAGTGGCACGTGGTAGTCAACGGATCGGCGACGGAAGCGGATAGAAAGTGGTGACATCAGAAATGGTGGGGGTGCAAATAAGATGAGGAGGAGGAGGGTGGAGGTGACGGAAAAGTGGATTAGAATGGGGATCCAGAAACGACTGTCAGGTGAGAATAAAAAGGAGAGGAAGGGGCCCATGGTGGGGCTAGGCAAAGGAAGGGGAGTAAGGGAAACGACAAAAGCGAGGGTGCAATGCAATGTGTAGCCAGTGGCGACGCAAAAATTTGCCGAAATGCGGAAAGTACCGAATGGAAAAGCAAAGGTGAGCGTGACTGGATTGCCTAATAGAGGTGGTGCTGATCAGCCACAAGTTTGAAACAGGCAATATTAATTACTATTCCACGTGGCACTGTGCCTGTGTGGCGCAAAGGCGAGTCTTTTTGAATATTTGCTTCGTTATTGACACCTGTCCATGCTACCAATCAACTTTGGTGCATAACAGCGAGTGGGAATGTTGTTTAGTGGGATGGTAGGTTGAGTGTGAGTTTTGTAAAAGAGTTTGAGTAGGGTGAAGATAATGATGATGATGATGGTAAGGATAGCTGCTGTTATGTTCATAGACGGTACTCGTTACAGTTGTTGATTGTGTAAGATTCCTATCCCCTATACTGAGTTAACGGAGGGACAAGTCTCAAAGATCAACAAGTAGTGTCCAAGTACTGGATTAAGAAGTAATCAACAACTGAAGAAAGTATGTACATGAGTGTTGGTATATATATGTTTCTGAAGGTCAGCCATGAGGCGCTGACTGATGTTCTACGTCATAGTTCTAGGCTTTATCACGTGATTGTCACGTGATCAGATATAAAGAAAAAAGAAAGAAAATGAAAAAAGAAACTAGCGCTCTGGCTCAAGTCGTGACATGTAAGTGCCCAGGTTGTTTAAATGCTGACACTCTAGAAACTACACACACAGGTCTGCCCCAGAGGGCCATGGTATACAAATATAAGCTATGTGCTGATACTGATCCACCCTCTCCCTATATCAAATGCACCAGGTGTTCTAGGACAAACTGATGTGTGGCTGTGCACACTCGGCTTTTGCCCTAGAACGTGGGGCGAGAGTAGTTGGCGCAAGTGTCGTTACCATATGTGTGAGCTGGCTGCTCCACATTGCCGCCGATGCTGTCAATACAGCATAGGATCTTGTAATCACGGGATATATATTCAACTCTTCCATGGAGTCACTCACCTCAACTTACTTGTACTTCAATTTGGTACAGAATCATGCTGATTCCTGTGAAGATATGTTCTAACATGCATTCTCTACAGTGATAACCATGTCCACCGGATGGCTGCAATGGGATCAAGAGACAAAGTTCGTCAGTCCTGGCCATAAGCTCTATCGCTCCTCTGCTCCCAGTTATGCTGGTAGTGACAGCACCCAGAAGCTCACAGAAACTGCCGTGCAATATCTCCAAACCCAGGGCATTGACAGCGTCATCAGCTTCAATCAGGTTCCTTACAATGCTACGGAAATGCAACTGCTGAAAGACGCAAAGATCAGTTATCTTCACCTCCCTGTCATGGACTACACTGCTGCTACGATCCAACAACTGCGGAGTGCCATTGCTTTTTACAAGGATCCAAAGCACAAGGCTACCCTTGTCCATTGCGGCTTTGGATGGGGTAGGACGGGGACTGGCGTAACAGCTATACAGTTGGACGCTACACAGGGCGCCAACCCTCCTGAATCGGAGTGGAAGAGTGTGAACCATGTTGAAGAATCCGTGCAGGTAGCAGTTCTGAAGCAACTCAAGTCGGAACTTCAGAAGGCGTAAGGGGAGGTGAATGAACGAAGACACTGGAGTTTGATACGGACGAGCCATTAGCGCCGAATACATTGACAGAGGCTGTAGAATACAGTGTAAACCTTGGAATTAGAAACATCTCGTAGCCGACCAATCCCACGGTTGAAAGCTTAAACTGACAATCTTATCCTGGAGCACCTCGCAAAAAGTCAACTTTATCGACAGGAAAACTTGGATTTGTGGATCCAGCTATGATATCCTGGACCACATTCAGCAAAAGTTATTATGCTACATAGCCCCACCGTCCCCCTGTCCATCGCCCTTCGGTGTCAATAAACCTCTAACATGGCGCTCACCTGAGCATCGCATCATAACGCTCTACATCCATTTTATAATGTCATATGTGCATATCGATAACGGAGTAAAAAGAAGAGAACGGAGACACCAGCGGAAGTATTTCTCATACTGTCATGGTTCGAAGCTCGAAAAGGGGTCATATGATTCCGACACTTCCCAATCCAATGACCTATCATTTGGCTATTTACACCAAGCATTTATGAATACCCCACTAATACTCCTTTCCCTATCTTGACCTTATCTCCTTAGAATTTCTACCGATTTCCATGTCCACGAAACACATATTTGACTCGTCTGATGGCCTCGTCCTCAAATCCCTCCGTGGTGCCGTAGCGCTCAGCCCTGCCTTGCGCATGTGAGTCTTCCATATCCCCACTCTGAACTCCACTTTCGACGACTGACCGGCTATACTATGATCCCAGCCACTCTTCCTCAAAGTCTGTTTACGTTGCCCACCCCGCCCCTAACACCCACCTCGCCGTCATATCAGGCGGAGGTGCCGGCCATGAGCCTGCACACGCAGGCTACACCGGGCACGGTATGCTAGCAGCCTCCCTCTCTGGGGACATCTTCGCCAGCCCTTCCGCTCGCTCCATCCTCGCCACCATCCACTTTGCAGCATTCGCCTCCTCCTCCGTCCCCCTCGACCCCACTGCCGTCGCCGTCGCCGCCCCTGCCCACGCCCAAGCTTCGCTTCCCAACCCCCGCGAGGTCCTCGTCGTGATTAACAACTACACGGGCGACCGCCTGAACTTTGGCCTCGCGATCGAGCAAGCACGCAGAGCGTTTACATCTCTGCACATCGACGCCGTCGTCGTCGCAGATGATGTTTCCCTTCTCGACCAACCCTCCCTCGTCGGCCCACGCGGACTCGGTGGCAACATCATCGTGTGCAAGATCCTAGGCGCCTACGCTGCGTCCGGAGGTAGGTTGGCACGTGCGAAGGAGTTAGGAGATGCTGTGGTTGGCGAGTTGGCGAGTGTAGGGGTTGGGCTGGCACATTGCCATATCCCGGGGAGGAAAGTTGTGGAGGAGGAAGGGGGAGCGGGGGCGTTGAGGGACGGAGAGGCGGAGATCGGGTTGGGGTTGCATAATGAACCTGGGGTGAGGCGCGTCAAGATGGAGAGTGCGGAGGCGCTCGTGAAAGAGATGATCGAGCTTGTGTTGGGTTCGCGTGGGGTTGGTAAGAATGGAAGGAGCGTTGATGAGGGGCCTTTGGTGAGGCCGGACGACGAGGTGGTGTTGTATGTCAATAATCTGGGTGGAATCTCGCAGCTCGAGATGGGCGCTGTGCTTGATGAGATTGTTATCCAACTATGTACGTGCTTTTCTTCCCTTTTCTCATCTACTTGGCTTTGTTCTCCTTGCATTTGCTGACGAGTTGTCTTCATTACATCAATCCTAATTACAATTATAATGCCTTGGTCCCATCCACTCAATCCACTGATCACCCCAACCACACAGCCGCCCGCAACATCCATCCATCAAGGGTCTACCTCGCGCCATTCATGACCTCACTTAATGCACCCGGATTCTCGCTCTCCATACTCAACATCTCTCGTATCCAGTCCCGTCTCTCATCGCTGCTACCCTCGTCCGACCAAAGCGACAATAATAACGACGAACCTCCATCGATCAACGTCCTCGATCTCCTCGACGCACCTACAGACGCTCATTCATGGCTGGGCGTTCGAGTCTGGTCTCCCTCTCGTCGTCCTGCGGACAACGCGCGGGACGAGGAAGAGGCGGAGGTGCTGTTGCGCGCGTCGGGGTACAAGTATTCGGTTGATGGTAGCTCAGGGGGGACTCCCCTCGTCCAGTCTCACTCTCCGTCCCACTCTAATAGCGCCATCGAGATCGAGAGGGCTATTCGTCAGGCGTGCAAGCACGTTATGGCTGCTGAACCTGCTATGACGCGTTATGATACGGTCGTAGGCGATGGGGACTGTGGGGAGACGTTTGCAGGGGGTGCGAAGGGTGAGTTGGTTTTCTGAGCCTTTTTTTTGGTCTGGGTCTGGGTCTTTTGGTTCTATCTTTGGTTGAAGAAACGCGTAACGTTTTTGTGGTGTCTTTGTTTTCCTGATATCTCGTCCTCCCTTTTTTCAGCGAGGATGGACGCAGAGCTTGTCGATCTCTTGATCAGTCATCACCGCAGCACTTGAAGTTTGTGCGTTCGTGTTCGTTCCGATGTGCTTATCCCACATTCTCTCTATCGTATTCTGCTTTTCTTCTGGCGCTGGAAATACTTCTGATGGAAGAGCATGTTTTGCACCCTATCAGAATGCTATTTATCCCCATGGACGTCGCTTGGCCACGTCTAGGATTATAGTGGGGTCATGTTTTCTCCAAACCGCATTTAGTCATCTGCCATTTTGTTTCCGTACTTCCCATCCTTCGGTCCTCGATTCTTGTCAATGCTGACGTATACCTTCTTCCTCCCCATTCCCCATTCCCTATGAACCGCCATTCCGTCATCTAGCCATCCTCGCCGCCCTCGATAATGGCACTCTAAGCCCGACACGCATGGCCCCTGCCACACTCGTTGAGAAAGCGGGCGTGATCCTCGAAGGGAGTATGGGCGGCACTATCGGCGCACGTGAGTACCCAATATTTGAGCTATCCATTCCTATCTCAGCCTTACATTTGGCGATCAAATTTCATTGCTCATTCTCTACCTTTCCCAACAGTGTTCGCGCTTTTCTTCACAGCATGGTCTGCTGCGCTCCTCCGCTCCTCCACCACAACCGGCTCTGCCCATCTCCCACTGACTCTTTTAACACTTCCAGCTGCGCTCTCAGCGTTAGGCACGCACACCCCGGCACGACCAGGTGATCGTACCATCGTAGACGCCCTCGCCCCTTTCTGCGCCGTCATCTCCAGTTCGCCTCCCCCACCTAGTACCGCCAGTGAGGAAGGAGGTGCATCGGCATGGATAGGCATGCTTGGTGAAGCGGTGAAGGCCGCGAGACGTGGGGCAGAGGGAACGCGTGGGATGAAAGCGCGCTTAGGTAGAGCTGTGTATGTTGGTGGTGGGGAGGATGGAAGCGAGGGGGGAGGGTTGCCGCCTGATCCTGGAGCGTGGGGTGTTGCTGCTATTGTAGAAGGGTTTTTGGAGGGCTTGAAAGGATGAATACTCAGTGTATTTCTGGAGGATGTGTTAAATGTATAAATAATAGTACAGTGTATCATATTGTATTGTTGACAGCTTCTTTGCAGGACTAGACTAGTCAATGCAATCAATTGAGGTCAGTCATTCGCAGCCTGTTCATGCCCAGTCGGAAATGACAAAATATATGCCGAATTAGATATCCTGTCGAATCAGACCATTTACATCGAATCTAATCTAATCATAAAGTATTCTCACGGTTTTGAGACGTGGCTTGAATCAACAAAATGCTGCAATTGCGTGTGATCTCACAAAGCAATGCAATACAGTGTCGCACATTCATGCACACATGCACCACTGTGCAGTGCAATCATGCATTCACTGCTTGCATAATCACGTGCCCATATGTTTGGTCACATTTTGCACCATGTTCGATTTCATCCTTCCTCTGTTCTGTACCACCATCTCCACCACAATCTTTACTAACTTTGGTATTTCCCATGTATCGGACAGGTCTGCACTCACTTAACAAGGGATTTTGATGGATAGTGCATAACTGTGAGGAGCAACACGATTAACTTAAAGTGAAGACCAAGGTAAGTAAGTATCTTTCAGATGTCCTTTCTTTACCGCTAATATATTGTTTGTGCTAGTACAAGTGGCCGCGGGAAAGTCAAAGACTCGAGGCCAAATCAATAGCCCTTCCTTTCGAAGCGCATTTAATGAGGTAGGCTTTTGTTTATGGCCTCTTTCCAACTGATACTTCAAACAGAAGGTCACCTCTGAGGCTGCAATGTGCGTACACAGTTGTTTCTGAGGCATTGTGTCTAACTATCTACCTAGAAACCTCCAGCTAAGGCTTTCAAAGCGAAATAGCAGTGCCAAAAGGGCCATTTTGGTGTATTGATGAGGGTAATTGTTTGCAGGGAGCCAGATGGCTTATATGTATATGTTATGTCCCCCCTCTCATTTGCTTTCATTGCTACATATCATTCATATTCGCTATCATTTGTTTTAATTCAATGTAATTAGTATAGTTTTGAATTCAGTTTGATTCGCTGTGATTCAAATATTCTGTATATTTGTGAAGCAGATTATAAAGAGCCATCTAACTAAATCAAATGATTTCTGTACTACCGCTGTGGTTAGATATGAACCTTTTATATTCGAAAATAATCTAGGATTACGGTAGTTTCAAGATATATATCGAATTACACGACGAAATTCGATGTGATTCGGTATATATTTTGTCGTTTCCGACTGGGGTTCATGATGCATAATTTGTGCCAGATATAGGTATGATGGTATCGTATATCTCACCTTTTGTTGCCAGTCACTCCTACCCCTGAATCTGGCTGGGTGCTGGGGGCAAAATTCCATGTTTAATATTAAAACATTTGAAAAACACTTGAAAAATAAAGACTTTGTTTCTTAGCATACTTCTCTATGTAGCACTGGAGGTTTTTTGCTCATGGTTTTTTCAATATTTTCACATGAAATATTAGGGAAAACACACAAAATGTATTGTCACAAAACATGTTCCCACTCCGTGTAGATGTAATACTAGTTACCAATGTTTTGCAAAAATACATTTTGTATATCTTCCCCAATGTTTCTTGAGAAAACTAGGGATGCCAAAGTTCAGTTTGGCCAAGTGGTTCAGAACTGATAACTGCTGAACTGAACCTTAGTTTTGGGTTTGGTTTGGTCCAGTTCTTAGTTTCTGTACCTAGGTTTGGTCTGTGGTTCAGGCATCCTTGCAGTTTCCCAAATTCAGTTCAAACCCATCCAAACTGACAAACCTCACCACCAATACACCACAATCAAGGGAGGGCCCAAACAATGCACGGACACATTGTTTGCACCCTCCCTCAAGCATCCACCAGCATTGTTAGCACTAGCACCAGCATCACCAGCATCACTCCCTCTCCCTCCCAACCTACTCCTTTTGCTGGCAAGCAAAGGAGTCAAAAACAATGCACCAAGTATTGATCCCGGCTCCCTCTCGTGCCACTACCACCTCCCTGACCTCCCTGACCAACACCAGCATCACAGTGTCACTCTCTCTCATAGCCACCCAACCCCATTTTGGGCAAGCAACGGGGACCAAAAACAATGTGTTAATGCATTGTTTTGGTCCCCTTCAGTTACCCCACTACATCAATGCACCACCAACACCAAGTGGCGTCTCTATGGTGCATGAAAATGATGCAATTGCATCATCTGCCTGTGCCATCGAGACATGCTAAGGCTTGCATATTAGCACACTGACATGTCCAAATAGGTGTTCATGATAAATTGCTAACACCACTTGCACAGCCACAGTAATTATTTTCCTCAGTAACAACTATGACCAACATACACCAATGTGCACTCAACAAGGATGGCACACTCAAGTAAGCTGGAGCCATTGAATGGTATTAATCTGAATCTGAGGATCGGCCTATCAAGCCCAAGCAACACCCTACTGCTGTTGTAAAGATTGCTGGCTCTAGGTGGGCAGTCAAGCCAACCTGGAAAGTTGTTGAGAGTCAGGCAGTAGCCTCTGCCTCTAACAGCAATAAAAGAGCACAACCAGATGACTCATCTGTCTCAAGTGGCCCAGAGAGCCATCTTCAGCTTTTAGTTGATCAAGCAAGTGGGGGAAGAGACATTATTCATAATGCCAATATGGAAGTTACCAGTGTTGGTGATAACAATGATACAGATACAGACCCTGTTGTTGTGTATGAAAATATGTATCGAGCTTGCAAGGTGAAAGAGTAAGTACAGTTGTATGTATTTATAAAACTATACTGACAAGTTTGTAGCGTAATATTAAAGCAAAGGGCACTCAAGGGAATGATCCATGCACAAAGGATGTGTGTGCAGCCTTTGTTGCTGAAGAACAAGTTATTGACAGTCATACTCAGTCTGGTCATTGGTGCAATGTGTCTGTATGTAATCTACATGTTATATTGTGAAATGATACTTTTTGTTGACTTACAGAGCATATATTTTAGAGCTCACTTAATATCAAGAAAAGCCTGTGTTGGTTCACAGGTGGGACGTCTACCCTTTGGAAACACATATCCAGGTAAAATTTTGCCTCAAAGACTATACCAGCTTTAATGTGTTTCTCTGTAGAAAATGAGATAGACATAGACCCACATATCAAGCTGTGTGTGCTCAACCTGACATAGAGCCACACCCACATGCATTACCTGAGAAGGACAATAAGGCCACTGATAATAGTGTTATACCACACATTAGTTAACCTAGTATCCTTTCCTTTGTCCAGCAAAGCTTTAAGTGGACCAGAGATAGCTTACTAGAGCATATCATTAAACTTGTAGCCCAGGAAGATCTTATAAGTCACTTTATATTCTGATGATATTGATAAACAAAGTCTTTCACCACAATTGAAAAAGAAGCCTTTCATGCTGTTCTCAAGTTTCAAGGACCACAGACTAAAGACTCCGACATACCTGGTTGCACCACTCTTCATGAGACTTTCCTTTCAAAAATATTGAAGGTTGAAGAGAAACTTTGGGTTATGTTCAAAGTATGTATTTATGTCGTAATTTTTTGTACACACTTTCATTGTTTTTTTAGGATATTCCTGGACAAATCTTAATTACCTTTAATGCTTGAACATCAAAAGCATTTTACCCATATCTAGCTGTGACTACTGACAAATTATGACATTTGTTTATAATATGAGAAAACAGGCATTGGCCAGGGCTTGAACCTGGGACTCCAGCTTTCATGGTCTGGTGCTTTTACCAACTAAGCTACCAAGGTGTACTTGGAAAACATACTGATTGGCTGCATGTCCAGAAATATCCAGAATCACTGTACACGGGTGCAGATCCCATTGTGTGTTGTGATGACTACTCACTATATTGATGCTCCTGCAAACAAGCCTAATGATTGGGAGCTGAGGTCTAGAGTACTTGGTTACACTGAGATTGAAGGTAATCATAGTGATGCTAATACTGCAGCAATTATACTTTGCATTGTTGTTGACAGGTATGATATAAGAGAAAAGGTTTGTATACTTTTAGTTCCAAAAATCATATGCTCATCTGCCTTATAGATTGGTTGGACCACTTCAGATAATACATCTGCTAATGGCAAGGCTGTTCAAATGCTACAGCATATCTTAGATAACCCAAATGGTTTGCAATAGTTTGCTCATCAGCATAGAGCCAGGTAGGTCTTCCTCATATTATGAATCCACTACTAATCTGCTCAAGATGTACATATGGAACATACCATTCACCTTGCTGCAAAGAGCTTTATAGAGGCTGTATGCCCAACCTCAGATCAATATTGTGAGGTCAAATTTTCAGAAGATAAAAACTCATAGAATGTAAATATTGAAGATTGAGCTAATGAATGGGATCCTACTCTTGAAGATAATGATCTTGTTGAGGATGAGGATTATGATGCAGGGGATTTCCTTGGAAAGTTTTTGGCTTTTGTTAATCAGGTATAGTTTTTATTGTTGATAGTTTGAATAGACTAACTCTTGTATAGGTCAGAGCATCACCACAGGCAAAGGCATACTTTGTTAAAGTATGCAAAGAAAAGCATATTGCTCCATTGGAGTTGATCAAGTGGGTTAGAATTCAATGGGGATCCATGTATGATCTCCTTAAACGTGTTATCACAAATAAAGACGTATGTATGTCCTGCAATTATAACTAACTTTATAATAACTGATATGATACATAGGCTGTCAATAAGTTCTGTGCTGTTGCTGATATCAGTCCATAAGTACCACAGCTCAAGAAAAAACAGTACAGAGACTTTGCCCTATCAGATTGTGAATGGGCTTTACTTGAGCTTATCAAGAGAATGATGTTGTTGATGTGATCAAATGGTGCGGTGTAAGTACAGTATCCAGTGTTTCTTTGCAAACATGTATCAATTACTGATTAACGTGTAGTACCACTCAGCTTAATACCCAGTGCTGTCATTGATGGCATGTGATTATCTTGCAATTCAAGGGTCTTCTGTTGCAGCTGAGAGAGTATTTTCCAGTGGTGATAGGACAAGTACTGTATTGAGAAATAAGCTTCTTTCAGAGACATTTGAAGCTTTACAGAGTGGTACAGAACTGGTGTATTGGATATTGAGAGAGAAGTTGCTTTGCATGAGAGGAAACCTTTCAAATTAGTGGTGGATTAAGTGTAGAAGTATATTTACTACAAATATGCTTAACAAAGTATATGTATATACTGTACTTGCCCCAAATTATAACTTAGTTGTGATTCTTGCTGCGTGCAGTATGAGTATGGGTAGAAAGTAGTCTATGTAGTAAGCAAAGAAATAATTTGGCACTGGGGGGATTAGAATGAGCAGGTGGTGGTAGGGTGGTTTTGCCCTTGCGAAGGGGCTCATCAGGGGGCTTAACCGCTATCCCAACCACCCGACATGAGTGTGACCAACTACCCTCTTTTTGATACAGCCGTTTACCGGAGTCCGGACTTGATGCTATGACTGATATACTGAGGGTACACTATCTCTTTGGGTTTCTGGCTGTGCGCCCTACAACCAGTCGGCCAAGAATGGGGCTCTCTCTCATGCCAGGACTTTCTTCATTGGGCATTCTGTACATAGTTCTATCGCATGACGCGATGCATGTGACTAGGATCCTTTTGGTGCCATGGCACAGTAGCTCTTCTCCTAAGATAGGAGTGACATCCCTATTTCTGTTGCTGACAAAGTCATAGATAAGAGTTCAGCCCACTCTGAACACAAATTGAACTATTTTGGGAAAATTACCACAATATAAGATAGTTTGGAGGTCCAGTTCTGGTTCAAACCAGAACCAGAACCACCAGAACCAGATTCACTTGGTTCTGTTCTGGTTCTGTTCTGTTCACCCTTGAATCTACTTGGTTCAGTTCGGGGTTCAGAAAAAAATGCCTCTGAACCATGTCAGGCAACGAATATAAAGCTATATAACAACAACCAATGCCTGGCCAAGTCCTTGATAAAAGGCGATGGATCAGAGTATGAAAGCTGAAGAGTATCTGTATAGGCGCAAATCCAAACCAATATTGAACTAAAGAATAATACATGGAATATCTACTCCTTATATACTGAATAGTAGTGATCAGGCCAGAAAGAGAGAAAGGTACAAGAGTGGCCTGACTAAATGGTTAACCAATAAGAAAAAAGGGAAGTGGTCTAATCTATCATATTTACTAATTGTAAGAGAGAGAGCCTTAGTAAAAAATGTACAATTGGCTGTATCAGTAAGCCCATGAGAAGATACTGAGTCACAGCCTACATTGCTGATTAATCTCTCGCCGGAGTATTCCCAGACATAGCATTGGATCGTAGCTATGCCAATTGGATATCCTCTCGGGGGTCTATGATGGTTCTCTGTGAGGCAACGTTAAACTATAACAAAAACAAAACCTGTCTCCACCGCACTTGCAGGGAGTAAGGGGTTCAATGAGCCTGGTTATCGACAGATGCTAGAGAATATAGCAAGTAGAGGATGTAGGAGTAGGACTCAGAGGTTTCTGATAAGAGGTTAAGCAGATTATTCAAGTAATAGAAAACTAAGGAACTATACATGAATAGGTAAGGCTTTATATAGCTAACCATTCGTTCCTCAAACCGAAAGGAGAATAGACGAAAAGTGGTCTGAGGAATAAATTGTCCAATAAGAAAAAAGGGAACAACTATTGTACGACTTTGAATGATTAATCAGCGGGTGAGAGAATTGTACTAATAATAGGTGTTTGTCACGCGTGTTCAGGAACTGTATCCTCATGATGAGGTACAATTCTGATCAAAGCATTTATTAGTATATCCAGGCCTTAATGGGACTTGGAGCTGGTTGGCGAGATGCCTACTATCAGTCCCTACCCATTATGCTGGCTGGCTGGGAGTGATACCCAGTCTCTGATCTGTGATATAAAGTGGTAGCGGTGGTTAAGAAAGCCTGTGAGGGCTATAAGAAGTAAGATCGCAAATGATACCTCTAGCCCTAGAGCCAGAGGTGTAATGGGAAAAGTGTTTGAGAACCAAGACATAGAGAATATAAGAAAATAGTAAAATGGTCCTTACATTCTCCTTCGTTGTAAGTATGATAGAATGTGAGTATGAAGGGAAAATAAGAAGAAGAAAGATAGAAGTAATAAAGTACCGGCTGTGATCTCTAGTCCAAGGGCGAGAGGAGTGACGGGGAACGAGTTGGATAACCACGACATGATGGGAATGTGATGAGAAAAATTGATTCCTCACAAACCAAACCAAACCAAACTTTGGCATCCCTAGTCAGAAATAGCTACAAGAGAGCTTAACTATAGTGTACAAGAGTGATAGTACACTATGTTGGAAGTATACAAAATGCATAAGCATTGTACGGCATGGTGCATAGATAAGGAGTAGCGCAGGCGCCAAACTGGGAAAGTCCAGTAGTTGGGGTGGCCTGTGCACCAATATACCATATCATTTTTTTTGGTTCCGTCTTCACTTATATATGCTGTTGTTGTCAGGCAGACACCTCAGATCTTCTCTCGAAGTCTGAGGTGAGATACTTTTATGTTAAGCTTATGAGTACTTAGCTTATAACTCATCTTTAGCTTATTATCTTGCTAGGTACATTATTCTGAATATATCAAATCTTCTCTCAAAGTCTGAGCTTATTATCTTGCTGGATCAAACCCGAACAATTTCACACTATAGTTAGGCTCTCTCTTGTCCCAGGTGCGCGTCACACCCTCTGAACACTTGGTCGAAATTGGGTTATCTCGGCACGGCTCGGCTAACGTTGATGATGCGCACGTGGCTCACATTGCCCTTCCTAGACCTCGCTCACGTCGGGGCCGGAAAGCCTCCGGCTTCCCGGTCTCTCAGACTGTCTCAAAGTTCATTCTTCTAAGTTGTCATTGCACACAAGTACTGTACTCCACTCTGCTTTCTAGCCACTAAGTAGTGCTTGTAACTTGCTCTATCTGCTTATATTCACATTGCCGCTCATTCACAAAGACCTAGGATACTTTCTTTAGCAGAAGCAAGCAAGGGTTACAGAATAAGAAGTATGCGAAGGTACGCACTTCTTATCCCGCACGGACTCATATCACGAGAGTAATCACTTTAAATCTTGTTGTAGCTCGGAAGGAGATAACATGTTTGAAGGAATCGTACGGCAGATAGATTTGCTCTCAAATTCCAAATCATACAGGGGGAATACTCATAAAGACCCAATATCAATAATACAGCATTAGACCACTGCAGATCCTCAGGCGAAGGACTCCCAGCGCACCATCACGGGCTATTTGAGTCGCAATTTTACAGTCAGGGGGCGGGAATGTTTCAATGTGGTCCGCGTGACCACTGGGCAGGCGACAACTTCTTGGTCAATTGTCGTTATCTTGATCAAGTCGCGCTTGATAGGACTCTTACGGTTTGACTACTGTTTGGTCCTAACAGCATCAGCATCTTCCACAAGATCGATCGACATTGGGTATTAACATGTGGATTTTCCGGCTGATGTGCTTAAGTAGGAAACCCATTGAGAAACTTGCCGTCTGATGTAGGTTGGGGATCCACAAGACATATCGCTTGTGCTCTGTGCTCTCTTAGCCTTGCGATCTAAATATGGCTGCCTGTGGACCTATTTCACGGCAGGTTCACCTCTAAACCACTTTACCCGTCGTATCATCTCTCGACCAACATGAAGTTCTCGCCCTCTACTGGAGCCCTCACCGTTGCATCTCTTGCAGGATCGGCACTGGCTGGCACTTACAACGTTGCCGACAACATTGTTGGCAATGGCTTCTACAATTCGTTCGGCTTTGAGGCCATCGCTGATCCTACCGCCGGACGCGTGTAAGCTCTCGTACCATGGATTCACCTTATCCACTGACACCATCCTCAGCAACTACGTCGATCTGGCTACTGCTCAGAGCTTGAACTTGACCTACACCAATGGCAATTCTTTCGTCATACGAGCAGATGATACCACTGTATTGACTGCGAGCGGCCCTGGAAGGAACTCCGTCCGAGTGAAGTCTAACACTGCGTACACTACCCACGCCGCTATGTGTGTATATTGGCTTTGCGACGGCGGTTTAAGTATTGATTATCTCCATTAGCTTCGGCATTGCTCACATGCCCGAAGGTTGTGGGTGAGTAATTTTCGATACATTTACACATGCATTTCGAGCTGACTGTTTGAATTTCAGATCTTGGCCCGTAAGTTGATTTATTTATAGGTCAAACTGGCAAATCTGACCTTGATATCAGGCTGTCTGGGAAACGAACGAAAGCAACTGGCCTGCTGGTGTACGTATATTTCTCCTTGAGCTTGAGTTATTATTTCTGACCGGCAATCCAGGGCGAGGTTGATATTGTCGAGGGTGTTAACAACGTCGCTCCCAACCAGGCCACCCTTCACACTAGCCCCGGTGTGTAACACTTCTACAACTATCATGCCCTAATCCTGACGTTTCTACTTAGGATGCACAATTCCTTCTTCCGGAGGCATGCTCGGTACTGTTGTGTCCACTAACTGTGACTCCAATGCCAACGGCTGTAGCATCCAACTTACCGAAGATAACAACAGTTTTGGACCTGGTTTCAACGGCGTTGGTGGTGGATGGTATGCCGTTGAACGTACCAACAGCGCCATTAGCGTGTGGTTCTGGGAACGGGGTTCCACTTCTGTTCCTTCTCAAGTGAGCAGTGGTGCTTCTTCGATCGACACCTCCACCTGGGTGAGTCATAGAATCATATCACTGTCACATTGTTGCTAAATTTGTGTTCTGAAGGGTACACCCGATGCTTACTTCCCCAGCACAAGCTGTGACATCTCGACCATGTTCGATGCCAACAACATCATCATCAATTTGACGTTCTGTGCGCTCTTTTATCCTAGATTTGATAACTGAAGTTACTCATTTACTTACAATACCATAGGCGGTTCCTGGGCAGGTAAAGCCGCAACGTACTCTGCATCCGGTTGTCCCTCCGACTGCATTAGTGAGTTGCATTCCCCTCGTTTCGCATATTCATCATTATCGTTTCCGATATTAGGCTACGTCAACGCCAACCCTTCCGCTTTCACCAACGCATACTTCGAGTTCAACGCTATCAACGTCTACACTTAAACGTCACACGCAATATGTTTACCAGCGTAAAAAAAAATCCCGTCATTCTCGGGCGGGGAGGTTTATATCAAATATATATTTAATTGTATGTCGAGGGTTGCTCATGTGCCATATATTTTACTGGTATCCATGTTTTATATGATATTCTCTGACAAAAAGCTGACTGTAGCGGCTGAAATGAGGGATGAAGTATTGAGCATAATTGTATGATGTTGGATATATATAACAGAAGTCATTCAGACATGTAGTAGGAAAAAGGGCAAAAAAGCGGTCACATTGGTTAAATCACTCACTATAGTATGGATATCAGTCATGAATGACTATGAAGCTATCTGGAACATGCATGGAATGTACCATTAACATCCATTGTATAATCACAAAAAGCGAAGAGAAAAGGGGGGAAAACAAATAACTCACAGTGTCCCCCAGAAGATATCTACAGCTCTTCAGAGACTCCACACAGCCATCACAGGTAGCATAAGCACTAGTATACACCCTTCAGTATCATCGGGGGCTTGAGGGCTCCTGGATTGGTTAGTGGAGAGTGCTGTTATGAGGAAATGGTATCAGACATGATGAAAGTGCGACAATTAACGTGAAAAACAACATACCTTGAGAATAGGTGTGATATTATGTCTCTACATAATATACCATCGATTTGACACCAACTTAATGCTTATCGGATTAGTGAATGGAATGGAATGGTGTAGTGCTATCGGTGGTGAGGAAGTGAGGATGAGGCCCAGTCACAAGCATATGAAAACTAGAATGATGTATCATATTGTAATGTTGATAGCTTTTCGTACGACTAGCCATTCAAATTGCAATTTAACTCGATCGTTCGCAGTCCATTCATAACGCATAAATTGTGCCAGATATAGGTATCGTATATCTCACCTTGTATTCAACTCACTCCTGCCGCTGAATCTGGCCCGACTCTTCACTCAGCACCTACAGGGTTCCAGGTGACCGCTCCATCCGCACCACGGTCGAGTGCGTCCAACAAGGCCATATCCGCCTCTGCAATCTCGAAATCGTAAACTTGCCCATTGGACACGATGCGCTGCTCATTGGCGGATTTCGGGAGGGGAACGAATCTTTAGGGAGAATAATTGATATAGAAGCACGCGTACACCTCGCGGATCAAAGCTTCTGAACCATAAGCCCACGTACCCTTTCTGGAGCGACCAACGAATGAGGATTTGCGCACCATCTTTCTCATACTATTCAAAATTCACTTCATTTAGACGGGTACAACGACTCTGGTTTAGACTGCTTGAGACTCACCTTTTTCGCCAGCCCCTGTATGACGGCGTGGTCCATCGCGCCACGCACGAGGGGCGTATAGGCCTGTACGGCGATGTTGCGTTCTGTGCAATACTCGATGATAGGGCGTTGCTGACAGAATGGGTGGAGCTGACCATGGACGACGATGATCAAAATCGATGTAGGACTTGGGATGACGCTCGGACGTAGCTCACCTCCAACTGGTTCACATCCGGCAACTCATACCCAGCCTCGATTATCTCGTCAATGTGCTTTCCAGAGCTGACATCAAGGAGATATGATTAGTTAGGTTAGGCTTGAAAAGTAAAGGGGCGACAGAAATGGAGGTTATGCGTACTAGTTCGACACACCTATGCACCTCACGAGGCCTGCTGCTTTTGCTTCTTGCAGAGCTTTGTACGTCGCAAGTCTGTTCGCTTTTCCCGTGCGGGGACTGTGAATGAGGTAGAGGTCATAATAGCCTATTTGAGAGATTCCACAAAAGAGAATGCCGAAGAATGTCGAATTAAATGAGAAAGAAAGTAGATACTAGACAAGCCCGAGTGTAGTAGGCACTTACCAAATCCTAGGTTCTTTATAGAGTCATTTACCGCGCTCAGCGTGCTATCGTACCCAAACTCATTATGGAAAATCTTGGAAGCTAAAGACCGAGTCACAACGAGACCAACGTAGAAGAGCGCTTAATAACACACTGATAAAGATATCTTCTCGACTAATGCCACTTTGTCTTACGCCTGATCCGACTCCTGCTTCGTTACGATAGTGGCGGGCAGAGTCGATCATTCTATTAAATCCAATCATGATGAAAATTGTATCAAATAAGAATTTTGATTATTTACGGACCTGTACCCGTTCTGCAGCGCGATCTTACACGCTTCCGCACATTCGTCGTTCACAGCAACTCCGAGACCCAGTGTGGGCATTGTGTAACCTGCAATGAGGATAAGATCTGTTGATGACTTCGGTGTATCTGAGGCTAACCTGTTCGTAATACAATCTCTGTAGGAACCTTCATGATAACAAGGCGGTGGTTGCTGAGGTGTGGTGTATGTACCAAGTCCTGTCATGGTTGGCCCCAAGAAATGTCGGTTTGTCGGGTTTTTGGCTCCGGAGTAAGCGGCCCGGTCATAGGTACCTTATCAGATAAGTATGTAAGTGTTGAGAAACAAATGTATGACATAAATATAGCGGATAGCTTGAAAGGATGACTGCCCAAGGTATTTCTGGGGATGAATCTGGGAGCAAGCGTACGAGAACTAATACGATGTATCATATTGTAACGTTGACAGCTTTTCGTACGACTAGCCATTCAAATTGCAATTTAACTCAGTCGTTCGCAGTCCGTTCATAACGCATAAATTGTGCCAGATATAGGTATCGTAAATCTCACCTCTTATTCAGCTCACTCCTGCCGCTGAATCTGGCCTGACTCTTCACTCAGCACCTACAGGGTTCCAGGTGACCGCTCCATCCGCGCCACGGTCGAGTGTGTCCAACAAGGCCATATCCGTCTCTGCAATCTCAAAATCGTAGACTTTCCCATTGGAGATGATGCGCTGCTCATTAGCGGACTTTGGGAGGGGAATAAATCTGTAGGAAGAGTGATTAGTATGGACGTGTAATCCTCGAGGATCAAAGTTCCTAAACCACATGTCCACGTACCCTTTCTGGAGCGACCAACGAATGAGGATTTGCGCAGCATCTTTCTCATACTATGACGGAAAAAAATCACTTCTTCAATTCCGGCCAGGTTGCTTCGAAACTCACTTTTTTCGCCAAGCCCTGGATGACGGCGTGGTCCATTGCGCCACGTACGAGAGGCGTGTAGGCCTGTATGACGATGTTGCGTTTTGTGCAGTATTCGACGATAGGACGCTGCTGACAGAACGGGTGGAGCTGACCACGGACGATGACGATCAAAATCTATGTAGGACTTGGGATGACGCTCGGACATAGCTTACCTCCACCTGATTCACGTCTGGCAACTCGTACCCAGCCTCAATGATCTCGTCAATGTGCTTGCCAGAGCTGACATCAATGTTTGGTTAGTTCTCGTGTGAAAAAGTAGAGGGGCGACGGGACGTATACGTACTAGTTCGACACCCCTATGCACCTCACGAGGCCTGCTGCTTTTGCTTCTTGCAGAGCTTTGTACGTCGCGAGTCTATTCGCTTTGCCCGTGAGAGGACTGTGAATGAGGTAGAGATCATAATAACCTATTTGGAGTGACCCACAAAATAGAATGGCGAATAAGAAACCAGACAGGGCCGAATACAGTAGACACTCACCAAATCCTAGGTTCTTTATAGAGTCTTTGACCGCCCTCAGCGTACTATCATACCCAAACTCAGGATGGTAAATCTTAGAAGCTAATGACCGAGTCAGAGTGAGTCACAACGAGACTAGCATAGAAGAGCGCTTAAGGACACACTGATAAAGATATCTTCTCGATTAATGCCACTTTGCCTTGCACCTAATCCGACTCCTGCTTCGTTATGATAGTAGCGCGCAGAGTCGATCATTCTATTAATTCCGATAAGGCGATCACGATGAAATGTCGTATCAAATAGGGGGTTCATAGACAGGATCAGCTAACGGACCTGTATCCGTTCTGCAGCGCGACCTTGCATGCTTCTGCACATTCGTCGTTCTCAAAAACTCCGAGACCCAGTGTGGGCATTGTGTAACCTGCAACGAGGATAAGACCTGTTAATGCAGACTTCAGTGTATACCAGGCTAACCTGTTCGTAATGCGATCTCTGTAGGAACCTTCATAGCGACAAGTTGCTGAGGTGTATGAGCAATTGTACCACAATACGAGAAACGCTGAGTAAGTTGTCAAATGCAAGATATAAATATAGAGGATATCGATGAATATATATGAGCCATGATCCGATCGTTTGCTTGGAATGGAAACTGCTTTGATGTCAGTGATCTGATTAGTTTCCTATGCTTTGAACATGCCTCTCACGTCACACTATGACATTTTTCAATACCAAAAGGGCCTCTGGAACATTGAATGGAAGCAAGTTAAAGACGTCAAAACTGTGGATACATATCAAATACATATGAAAACAATGTGATATTTCTTACTTCACTTCAAACGCTATTCCTATCATGTACATTTACTCGGTATCAACAGGGTTCCATGTTATCGCGCCCTCCTTCCCGCGATCCAGAGCACTAAGCTTAGCCATGTCTTCTTCCAAAATTTCAAAGTCGTATACTTGTAGGTTAGACACGATTCGGTCTGGGTTCGAGGACTTGGGCAGGGGTACAAAGCTGTGGAAAGCGAGCTGCATAAGACAAGATCATAACATAGACATGCACACAGTGCTTACCCTTTTTGCAGTGACCACCGAATGAGAATTTGCGCAGGTTCTTTGTTGTACTGTATCGTATTTATCAGGCATGCACATCAACGACACTGAAACCGAGACACACCTTCTTTGCAAGCTCTTGGATGACAGGGTTGTCGAAACCTCCACGCACGAGAGGTGTGTATGCCTGAACAACAATGTTGTGTTGCTTGCAATACTCGACAATAGGTTTTTGTTGACAGAAGGGGTGAAGCTACAAAAATCGATACTGAGTTGGTGGATTCCAGAGTATGGACTTAACAGACCTCGACTTGGTTAACGGCAGGCATTTCCAGGCCAGCCTCACGAATCTCTTCGATATGTTTGACAGCGCTGGTTTGATATTTAATAACCGAAAGAACTGGAATGAAAGAAACATACTAGTTGGATACCCCGACAGTTCTAACTAAGCCAGCAGCCTTAGCTTCTAAGACTGCTTTGTAACCTGCAAGACGTTTCTCCTTGCCGCCGATTGGACTGTGAACAAGATACAGATCGTAATAATCTGTAAAAAGTGAGCCTATGGAAGTAGATCTGGGAATGGTGTAACATACCAGACCCCAAGTTCTTGATTGAATCATCGATCGCTGCCTTGGTTTCTTCCTTGCCATAATCATCATGGAACACTTTGGATGCTGAGATCCTCTAAGTCAGGTTTCTGTGCGGAGAAGCTGAGAGGGAGAACGACACTTACTAATGAAAATGCTCGCCCGGTCTACGCCGCTTTCTTTCACACCGACGCCAACCTGAACCTCGTTCTCGTAGTAGCGTGCGGAATCGATCATCCTACATATATTTACATTGCATTAGATGGACGCGATGGTTATGAATAACTAATTACTGACGTGTATCCATTTTTAAGTGCAACAGCACATGCCTCCGCGCATTGCTCGTTCTGATACACCCCCAGGCCCACAGTGGGCATTTTATGGCCTGAACTGAGTTAGAGTAAAGGCTAACACATACGTAGTCAAAGAAGAGGCTGACCAGAAGACAGCACAATTTCAGTGGCGACCATGGTATATTCGATTTTATACTAGGTTTAGAGATGGGGAGTGGAGGGGGGATAAGTAGCGGATCGATAAAAACATGAGACGGAAGATCATATATAGCTGTAAAATGTTAGATTATCTGCAAGCGGGCTTCGAGTATCCAGAAGTTGATAATCAGAAAAAAGCCGACGGTTTGCTGATCACGTTCAAGCTGAGCAATCGACGAAATCAACGGAAGCTGACTGTTAGACCCTGATCTCCCACTCATCTCCACAATGCACTACGTTAATCACGTCTCCAAGTAGAGCCGAGCCAGGAAAAATGGTCACAAAGACTCAAAGAGGGCAGAGAAGCGGATAAATAATAATAGTATTGAGATCAAATAAGATTCTACTTCCCAATCACGTAGTCTCCCTTGCTGACCTAATATATTGATGATAGTCGATCGATATCTTGTAAATACCAATCACGCACACGTGTCAGCTGACAGGTGTGCTTAAGACATAACAGTGGTCGTTAGAGCGGTATTGGACCTCTATATGGAGAGAGCAGCCAGGACATCTTTGAAAATTCAACAGGTGAGCTCACTATCGCGAAAAATAGAAGAGGCAGACGTGGGAATTGCTTACCAATGCATCGTCGTCCCATGGTTTTACGCCTTGATAATAGCTCTTCTATATCACTATCAGAAAACATCGATCCGTGGTTTATATTGTATGGCATCCTGTGCCAACCACGATTATTATTGGTGTTACTTCCGTTCTTGGTTGTAGGAGCCGCCTTGCTGCGTTTATAGTTTCGTGATTGGAAGACAAAGTGCGTGCAGAATTTTCGAGGTTTTTCTCCTTCATAGTAGCATTATGCACCATGAACATCTCTTTGGTGCCTCCCTTGCCTTCATCTGTCGTCCAAAATCCACTCTCCGGCAAATATTCACCTGAATGGGAGCAAACGCACTTTTGGTCGCCAAACTTGCCTTGTCCGATCAGGAAGTAAAAGCATACGTTCTTTCCCCTATAGATTATCAGCGTAAAACCGACAAAGTAGAGCCATCGTATAACCACTTACATTGTTTCTCGGACACTTTTTGTCGTCAGGTGCATGCGAACAAGCGCACACCCTGCCTCTCATACATCCACTATGATTGTATAATCGACATGGAAACCCGTTGCCGAGGTGTTCACAGTCACTGGACTCTGATTTTGAGTCCCCTTCAAGATTGAATTCCTCATCGAGCAGCGGAAAGTCGTCTTCTATGCAAACCAATACCTTGTAGCGACCACCTGCTTCCAAGAGGCTTCGCGCGGCTGCGAGCTCGGTCTTTGCATCACCGTTATTGGGGTCTACTCTAAGTACCATCTCGAAGTCTGAAAATACATATTATGCATCTACGTTTCTTTGTCAAAGGATCAACGTACCGGCAATAACAGCAGGTAGAAGCCTCATTTCCTTGCGCGCTAAACATCTTCGGTAGCAAGCCTTGACGGACTTTGGGGCATGGAGAAGGGGCCCAGCCTCTTCAAACCTGCGACATCGATGCTTTGTAAACCTCAAGGTTTTGAAATCATTATCGACACGTACATATTGAGCCTAAGGTAAGCAGCAGCCAAGTTTGATATGTATACGACTCTTGCACCGTGGATTTCGATGGCTCTTGAAGTAACAACGAATAGCCCCATGGTAATCTTGCTCCTTATAGCATTTGTTCCCCTGCAAGATATTGTCAATTGGAATGGCGAAGCGGCGGTGCGAGCTGTTCAACTTCTTCCTTGCAGATCTCTGCCTTTTTTTGTCGTTCTCCAGATTTGGCCGCTCTTTTGCCTGGGCGTTCTTCGATGGCTTTCTGGATCAACTTCACGCCACTTTGGGATGCTCTTGATTTCACCATAGCATCACCATTTTTCATAATGTAGTCAAGGGTACGACAAGTTGCGGTGGTGGTGGTGACAACTGAACGACAACCAGCCTCTGAAAGAGGCTTGAAAAGGGAAAAAAATGCGACGTGTTCACCTTCACGTGCGGTAATTAACACATCACGTGCAAGCATCTAGCTTTAACACGCTGAAGTACCAGAGTTGTCATCTTATCCAAGCACCACGAAAGCTCGTCGCAGGCGGAATATATTGCAAAGGAGTTAATCCTCAACTTACAAATAAGTTAATATATTATACAAAAATCTCTCCATCCAAGAGTGAAGGGACCAATAACAATTTCAAGTGTAGACGTTGATGGAAGCAAATTCGAAATATGCGTTGGTGAAGGCGGTGGGGTTGTCGTTTACGTAGTCTGATACAATGGGTTAATGTGAGCGACTATCAATCATCGACAAGGCATGGGAGAAACTCACCAACGCAAGTGGAGGGACATCCAGATGCCGCATAGACCGAGGATGAACCTGCCCAGTCACCGCCTTTTGAAAGTTAAGTACATCAGTAATTGTATTATGCAGGCTCTCAGGGAAATGACACACAGAAAGTCAAGTTGATGATGATGTTGTTCGCGTCGAAGTGTGTGGCAAGGTCGCAGTCGGTATCAGGGAAGTAAGCGGCAGGAGTTCCCTACACAGAGCGTAGTGAATAAGTACGCTACAAACAGAACAAATACTACTTTGACTTACCCAGGTGGAGGTATCAATGGAAGAGGCTCCGCTGCTAACTTCAGCAGGAACTGAGGAGGAAGATCGCTCCCAGAACCAGACGCTGATGGCGTCGTTGGTACGTTCCATAGCGTACCTGCAACCTTTAAGTCAATACCACGCTTGCTGTACAAACCGAAAAGGGAAAACTGACCATCCGCCACCAACATTATTGAAGTCCGGTCCGAAGCTGTTGTCGTCCTCAGTGTATTGGATACCGCAGCCAGCATTTCCGTTGACTGTGGCATCACAATCAGTGCCCACAACAGTTCCCAGCATGCCTCCGGAAGAAGGGATCGTGCAGTCTGGGCAGAAAAATAAATTCAGGATTAGAACATGAGAAAGAGATTGGATGATTACCGGGGCTTGTGTGGAGCGTCGACTGGTTGGGAACTACGTTGTTGACCCCCTCAACGATATCGACCTCACCCTAAGGTTTCGATCAGAGAAAAAAGATTGGCCTGAATAGGAGATACACCTACACCGTCGGGCCAGTTGCTCTCATCGGTTTCCCAGACAGCCTAACGAGGACGTCAAACTCAGCTACTCTAGAATCTGTGAAGAAAAACGTACTGGCCACGTTCTGTAAATAAAACATGGAGCTGAGATTCTGGATTACGTATATAGGACAGTGGCTTACCCACAACCTTCGGGCATATGATTCATGCCAAAGCTGGTGAAAAATATCAATACCCACGAGATGGAAAAATCAAAAATACACACATAACAGCGTGTGTGGTGTACGCAGTGTTGGACTTGATTCTGACGGAGTTCCTCCCAGGGCCGCTCGCAGTCAAGACAGTGGTGTCATCTGCGCGCATGATGAAGGTATTACTAGTGGTATAGGTTAGATTCAAGCTCTGAGCAGTGGCCTCGTCGACGTAATTCCTGCAGGTAGAGAGCGTCAAGGGAGGACAAAGATTATGTTAACAGGACTTACACGCGTCCATCGGTAGGATCTGCAATAGCCTCGAAAGTGAAGGCACTGTAAAAATCATCACCGACAATGTTGTCAGAGACGGTATAGGTCCCAGCCAGTGCCGATCCCGCAAGGGAGGCCAAAGTAAGAGCACCGGCAGAGGGTGTGAATTTCATACTGTTCGAGAGACGATGTGATAGCTGAGGTGGTATGCAACAGGCCAATGCTGTCCCGTATTTAAACCATGTCGCCCAAGGAGAGCACACAGGGAGAGTGATATTTTTGGCGGTGTAGCATGCGGGATGAAGGTCAGTTGCTATCAGGACCTGAGACCGAGTATTGGGAAAGCGAGGAACTATCGGAGGTTTTGCCTGAACGGTAGTTTCGAGTATGGGTCAACAAGTCCATCAATTCAAATCAGACAACTCTAAGCGCATTCTAACGATACCCTGCTTGATTTTACCTTGAGCACACCGGGTCGATCTTTGAATGGCATCGACAAATACAATGTGCAGATGGGGGTTCGACAAGCCCAATGTCAATGGACTAGCATTATACTAAGAGGTCGCCTCCTGCGCGATAATGACGTGGACTACGTTGAAACAGTATCTAGGTCCTTGATGAGCATTCTCCCTGAGACCATTCGTGAACCCAGGCTCAAAATAGATCGACAGATGATGGTGCGCTGGCATTACCTGACTTGTCGATCCCATATTTGCCTTGCGCAGCAGCTTCCTCTTCAGACAGCTCTTCAGGCTGGAGTTGCATGAGGGCTGTATGATATTGTTAGTAACACTGCGTGGTTTTTCCTTGCATGGTATAGAGAGAGGAACAAGCAGTGGATTCGTGGGAGGACAGCTACTTCAGGCGTGTTCGTCTGCGCTATTGCATGGCATTTTTTCCCGAGCTGGAGTATTCGGAGTGATCGCTCCGCATATGTGGGAGAACAAGATGTGCACTGTGTTCGAGGTTTAAGCTTCAGCAGGCCAGGAATAGATAAAACGCGCACTCTGCGTGATCCTTCCGCTCAAAAGGCGTCATGATCCTCGCACGAGACTTGGACCGTCAAACGTCTGGACGTCATTGACACGGTATCCGAGTCGGATATTGGCGCTAGTATATGACCTGACACTGATCTACCACGTTTAAGACGGAAGCATGAGCAGACGCCCCCAGAGTAAGTCTTGATACCTACTAGGACCTAAGCCTAAAAGTTAGATTATAGTCAAATGCAAGTTGGCTGGGGGGCACCACTGGCAACGATGTCACGCACGGTTAGCTCCACATGGTGATGTGACGCGTGACTAGACAAAGTCCCAAACTATGAGACATCCCCATTACAGAGGAGCGACCACTCCTGTGTCGATACTCATCTCAAGATCTCATAACACATGAATGCCAATAAAATATATTGCACATGAGCAACCCTCGACGTACAAATAAATATAGATTTTATACAAACATCCCGCCCGAGAAGTACGAGATCTTTTTTTACACTGGTATACGTGTGGCGTGTAACGTTTAAGTGTAGACGTTGATGGCGTTGAACTCGAAGTATGCGTTGGTGAAAGCAGAAGGGTTGGCGTTGACGTAGCCTTACATTGGAAGCGATAACGATGAATATACGCCTGTCAGTGGAGCAATGGGAATGACACTCACTAACGCAGTCGGAGGGACAGCCAGATGCAGAGTAGATTGAGGCTTGACCTGCCCAGGCACCGCCTATGGTATTACACGTGATTGAGTAAACTTCAATTATCAAACCTAGACTGAAAAAGCTCACAGAAGGTCAAGTTGATGATGATGTTGTTGGCATCGAACATGGTCGAGATGTCACAGCTTGTGCTGGGGAAGTAAGCAGCGGGTGTACCCTTGAGAACCCAGATTTAGCAACAATGTGACAGTGATATGATTCTATGACTCACCCAGGTGGAGGTGTCGATCGAAGAAGCACCACTGCTCACTTGAGAGGGAACAGAAGTGGAACCCCGCTCCCAGAACCACACGCTAATGGCGCTGTTGGTACGTTCAACGGCATACCATCCACCACCAACGCCGTTAAAACCAGGTCCAAAGCTGTTCTTATCTTCGGTGAATTGGACACCACAGCCAGGGTTGCCGGTGGCATCCGCGTTACAGTCAGCGTTCACAACAGTTCCAAGCATGCCTCCAGAGGAGGGAATGGTGCAGCCTAAGCAGAAACGTCAAGATGAGAGCATAATAGTTGCAGAAGGATCACATACCAGGGTTAGTGTGAAGGGTTGCCTGGTTGGGAGTAACGTTGTTAACACCCTCGACAATATCAACCTCGCCCTGGATTGCCGGTCAGAGATAATAACTCAAGCACGAGGTGAAATATACATACACCAGCAGGCCAGTTGCTTTCGTTCGTTTCCCAGACAGCCTGATACCAAGGTCAAATCTGCCAATTGGACCTATAGATAAATCAACTTACGGGCCAAGATCTGAAATTCAAACAGTCAGCTCGAGATACATGTGTAGATGTATCGAAAATTACTCACCCACAACCTTCGGGCATGTGAGCAATGTCGAAGCTAATGGAGATAATCAATACTTAAAACGCCGTCGCAAAGCCAACATACATACATAGCGGCGTGGGTAGTGTATGCAGTGTTAGACTTCACTCGGACGGAGTTCCTTCCAGGGCCGCTCGCAGTCAATACAGTGGTATCATCTGCTCGTATGACGAAAGAATTGCCATTGGTGTAGGTCAAGTTCAAGCTCTGAGCAGTAGCCAGATCGACGTAGTTGCTGAGGATGGTGTCAGTGGATAAGGTGAGTCCATGGTACGAAAACTTACACGCGTCCGGCAGTAGGATCAGCGATGGCCTCAAAGCCGAACGAATTGTAGAAGCCATTGCCAACAATGTTGTCGGCAACGTTGTAAGTGCCAGCCAGTGCCGATCCTGCAAGAGATGCAGCGGTGAGGGCTCCAGTAGAGGGCGAGAACTTCATATTGATCGAGAGATGATACGACGAGTAAAGTGGTTTAGAGGTGAGGCTGGTATGCAATGAATCGACAGACAGTCGTATTTAAACTGTTAAGGCCAGGAGAGTACATTGCACAAGCGATATGTCTTGTGGAGCTTCATGTGAGGTAGCATGCGGGATCACAGCTAGTTGCCATAAGGACCATAATCGAGTATGTGGGGTGTTTCGTTTGGAGGCAGTAAGAACCCCGACCTACATCAGATGGCAGCTTTCCCAACGAGTGTCCTGTTTAATTCTCACTCAAGCACATCAGCCGGTAAAACCATATGTCAATACCCAAGAGAGATGTTGATCGATCTTGTGGATGATGCTGATGCTGTTAGGCTCAAACACTGGTCAAACCGTAAGAGAAGGATGACAGGTCCCATCAAGCGCGACTTGATCAAGATAACAATAATTGACCTAGAAATTGTCACCTGCCCAGCGGTCACGCGGACCACATTGAAACAGTATCCATGCTTTATAGGAGATTTCCGCTCGCTGACTGTAAAATTGCGCCCCAATTAGCACGAAAGATGATGATGCGCTGGCATTGAGTCCTTTTCCTGCTAAGAGGATTTGGTCTGAATATTCCTCCTGTATGACTTGAAATAAATTCGAGGGCAAATCTATGTCTGCAGTACGATGCCTTGAAACATGTTATATCCTTCAAGGCTGCAAAAATATTACTGATATATGAGTCCGTGCGAGAGGAGAGGTGCGTACCTACGCGTATCTTAAGCTTATTCTTGACTGCTTCCGCTAAAGAAACGCTGGTACCCAGGTTTTCCGAATAACATGAGGGCGGAGCCGTAAAAAAAACCATGGGCTGAAGATTGGCGACAGCGAATGATGCCTGCATAGTATTGGCCGATATGTGGGGTGATACCATAGGCATTGATTCACAAAAATAGATGAAGCAGATGACTTCAGGCAGCCTCGACGTTACTAGGAACTGAGTCTCAAAGTTTAATCCCAGCGACTGTTGGTAGCACGCGCCAATCCTGCTTGGCCACGAGTGACCGCACTGAGTAAAAAGCAGTAGTGACTGTAACGAACGACTGGTTCTCCTCCTACAGGTGTAAAATCATTCTGACGCTGTAAACATTGCCTTTCTTTTGCTCGAAGTCTTACTACCATGCGAGCCCACCATCACATGGAATTTTGCATCCCCGTTGCCTTTCCTGGCCCGCGCCCAGTTGCAACGAAAGCCCAGCCATCAGATCTGCAGAAAACGTGATCATGTCTTACTCCACATTCACTCTGGCACTAGGCGAAAATGGATGTGTTAGTCCCTCGGTTCGCTATAATATCGGAATGCATTGATTCGAATTCAATCAGTCACAAGGTGCCGAGGAAATCGTGTTATAGTAGCATAAGCAGCGAACCAGTGCTTTGCTACACTTCCAGTTGAGTGTTACATGTATAAATAGTCGCTATCTTACAGAGGCAAGGTAATAATTGCCAACTAGCAGGTCTCATAAAAGCGGTTTAGACTGCAGTGATCGTTGCACCATCATATCTCCTAAGGAACCACTGTCTTGTCAAAGAGTTTATTATTGCTTATCTCCGAAGTACAACACTAGTGCAACGCTGTGTACCTACTTTGTTTGCTAAGAACGCCGGTCCACATGCAACCTCGACGGGAACAATACTCGAAGGCAATAACTGCGGACCTCTGGAACTAGACCACAAGGAACCGCAGGAGAAACTACGGTGGAAATTACTCAGCCTCTGAAGGCACGTGATGCAAGCGGGAACAGGTCATGTACAGGATGTTTTTCGACCAGAAGCTACTCACCTTCCACTTTCTTATCGATCATGCACTATGGTTGAATTCTTTCGCATCTCAAGTCATATGCGCGTACAACCTCGCTATTGTACCCCAGAGTAAAGAGATATTCTTTGGGACTATTGACTTTGCCGATCCGACCGAACCGTCACTGGCTGATTTCATGGTCGCCGAAACTTGACAGGACGCAACAGACAAGATGACGAAACAGCTACTGCATTACCTGGCCCTGGCAATGAACCCCAAATTGGACAAGAGGCGGCCGTTGCCAACTTTACTACTGCATTACTGAGAGACCTTGAGTACGACGATGAAAGTAATATCCTTTTCCTTTCGACATGCCATCCCTTTTCTCTATGTGGAGAAACCTCAGTCCCCCAGACTGACATTTGCATCATGGATGATAATGAAATACTGCTGCTGTTGCAAAAGGATAAGATAATGACGAGCATGAAAGATCGGAGCCTCAGGTCATCGCAGAGGCTTTTGCAGCCCTTACGCTAAACAGTCGGAAGTGAGAACGCGACCTCAACCTCCCCCTTGTAACTCCATCATATTCTCTTGTCTCACCATGGTTGGCACTTCGCCGGTCCCGTACAAAATCACCATCACTGCCGCACTGGGCAAAGCCCGTTCAGGACGGCACTTATCCCGAGACCGAAACCCATGTCTTTCGTTATATCTCTGCCCTTCCTCACCGGAGCAGCGAGGGGATGTGCCCTCTGGCAACAGACTCAAGATCTTGCGATACTCCGAGTCATTCAAAAAAATTCATGGGAAACCGAAACCTGTACGTTCTCCTGCGAAACTGTTTCTAATTCCTGTCAGCCTCCCGGCACCGTCTTCAGGCAAACACAGGAAGTTTACGAGAGTTTTTTTTCGAGACGTGGCCAGTTGTTTATAGTGGCGGCATTTACATTGTGCATCTTTCGTGAAAGTAAGCAACAGACGCTTCAAAACCGTCCTCGAATCATATCCTCGTAAATCAAACACTGCGGGAGCCTTCCGAGTTGATTATGAATCCTTCAGATCATAAATTTGTTTGTTTGGTGCTCTTGCAATATATATATAGGTGTCGTTCAGAGCAGGAATGATAATTGTCACCTAGTGTCGAGTGAGTGGGGGTCCTGAATGAAACGCAGCCCGACCTTCAACCCACACGCATGATAAGTTCGTTCGCTGAATTACCGCAGATGTTGGAGTATGTCTGTCCTCAGGATGTCGTGGACTTGCGTATTCTAACACTATTCCTAGCGGTGGATCTTTGGCCAACGTGGCTGTTCTCAGCAGTCACCTCTGAATCGAATGGGATATAGAAGCCTCTGGCTCTAGCTCCACATGCCGAATTGGCGTTCCTCAACCAAGGCGTTGCCGAAGCATCCAGTGCTCTCGCATACTCCTGGCCAAGTCCCGGGCCCATTCAGGATTTTTTTTTAGCTTGCGACTAGAAAGCGAATGTTACTTTTATGCTCCAATATGGTGCTTGTCGTTGTCCTACTAAATTTCAGCGTTGCCAATGACACTATGCCTCCCGGGCCATCAGAGATGAAAATATCACGTTGACCCCTTCGTCGCGTCGTGAATCTAGTATGACTCTTCGAAGTGGAAGTGCGATGAATGTCGCCTTCGATTGTTAGGCAAAGCTACCTTGCGGCTTTGCATATGCAGGTCTATCACGAGATTACGGTTTGTATAAAAGTCAAATTTGTTTGCCGAAGATCCTCAAAAGCAATAAAAATATTGCCCACTGGCTGGATTGAACAACCGACCTCATCATTTCCTAAGGACTGAACTGTCCTGTACAAGTGACGCGCTCTACCACTGAGCTAAGCGGGCTTGATATTGAAAGACCCGTGCTGCAAAATCACTCATCACGAGAATCAGTATATCACTTGACTCACTGCGCAATTTGCGTTTCACTGAGTACATCGCAAGAAATTTGAATTCTTAGGGGAAAAAGTACATCGTGCCAAGATATGATTTCCGACCAACAGTAATTACCAATTAAATATTTACGACGCTTTTCACATCCCAAAATTCGCAAGCTTCTGCTGAATATTCACCAGTCGAGAACGTCTTGTTCGGAGTTCCGCTCGTCGTGCAGTAATCGCAGGATCTTCGCTCACGAATTCTGCCATCCGGTCCAATAAGTTAGGTGTCTTCATCAAATTATTCAACAAGCTTTCGGGAAGTTTGTCCGCGAGTGCTCGATTCAAGGAGTGCTCAATTTTGAGAGGAACATAGTCGATGATACGCTGAGTAAAGTAAAGCCGCTTGTCATTAATTTTCTCGAGCAGAAAGAAGCATCGAGTTAAGCGTACCTTGTACGCCACGTTGAAGTAGGCACGGACATCTGCCATAACTATTAACTCATCTTCAAAGCCATTCGGGGGCAATAATCGAGCCAAGTCCTCGATTTTTAAGTCTTTGTACCCCGCTTGCGCCAGGGACCGTAAAGCTTGAGAGCTTGATATACGTGTGTATGTTTAATAAGTGAGTGTAAAATATTTATGATGCATACACGTCTGCTCGAGTGAAGGCACCCTCGTACACATGTTCACTTGCGGAATAGCTATGCCGACATGACGGCCCGATATCGTGGAGATCGACGCGACGATACATTGGATCGTGTATTGCATGTTTGTATTTAGCAAGCCAAGCATTACGGAGAGTGTCGAAGTAGTGAGTGTTTTGAGTAAAGCACGGGTCAATCTCGAGCTTCAGGGTTTCTTCAAGTGCCACCCGTGCCAAGGCTTCATGTTCTTTGACTTCTTCTCTGATTAGATTCCTGGATTCACAGAACTCATGAGAACAGGATAAAATGACGACAATGACAGATGTTCATACCCAACATAATTCTCTAACATCTTAAACTGCCCAAAATGTTTCGCGATTAGTTCTTCCACAAACTTCAAGAGGTTGGAATGAATATCCGTAAAACATTTCATGGAGGGTTCCTTCCACATGCTAGTGAAACCATCAATAAGGACTTTTTTCGCTTCATATGGCACATTGTTTGGCAGCTCCCAGCCAATTGACCTGTAAGCCCAACAAATTAACTTGAAGCCTATGTGTGCGATGGTAAATAAGGCACGCACTCTTGAATAGTCTTGCGCACTTGATAGAGCCCCAGAACGGGTACGGCGGGGTTGGGAAACTTGAGGCCGGGAGATTCTTGGAGATCTGTTTCAGATTCATCCATTGATCTGTAGTTTTCGGGATCGGCGAACGGCCTGAAATCGGGTGCTGTGAGGCGAATGCTCCTCTTGAGGATGGCAAAAACAGCCCGATCGCGTTGTGCAAAGCCCTGCTCCTCTCTGCCATACACAGCACTCTTGAGGCCCTCGCAAAATGCATTGACACGACTTATAACCTCGGCAACAGGGTTGTTCAGGATAAGTGGAGGCAGTTTATCGAGGTTGTCGGCGCAATTCGCAAGAAGCTTTTCGATCTCTTTTTTGAGCTTGGGAAGACTAGCGAAAACGATGGGATTCTATTAGCATACTGGTATTTTGGAATTGCTTGAAGAATCAGCCCCGGGAGGGAATACGCACGCTTTCTCGATCAACTGGATAAGCAGCTCGCTAATGTCATTGACGAACCCTGGGATTCCGAAGCGACCACGGTCTGCGATCTCGCTCCAAGGCTTTGTTGAATTGAAGAAACCCAAAGCGCGGGCCTGCGCCTCGGCCCTCGTAAGCTTCTCAGCTCGTTCGGCGTCGTTAGGGAGACGAACGCAGTAGTATCCGTGTGTCAATATATGTTCGCGACCTTCGAGGACGTTCCTCCATGTCTGACGTTTACTGACATCACCTGGACCCACGTTATCAGGTTTTGTCAGAATTCCTTGAAATTGATGTTAGATCGAAGGCAAAAAGTGAAGTGGATGAGATGTAGGCCTACCAATGGTTCGTTCACCTTCCGGGTCTGCTTCCTTTGCAAGTTTCACTGCTAGCTGATTCTCCATATCATCTGTGGAATATGAACGTCTACGATAACAAAAGATGGATGGACAAACATACCACTCATTGGTATTGTAGTGAGAATGATGGTGTTCTCTCGGCTTATATATGTTTCTACCATGCTGCGAACTATCTCTATGACTTCTTTCTCTTCATTTTGAATTAAACCTAAATATACGCGTCAACGAATACTCTGCAGCATGAAATCATATTCTGTGATGGTAACATACCAGGCAAATCAACAAATGACAGGTCAGTAGCTTCAGGGTCTTCGATAGATATATGGACTACGTTCTTCGAAAATTTTAAGGCATTCGCCCGACCTCGCAGTTCCGCGTATGGCATCTGGTAGAATGACTCGGGAGGGAGAGAGGGGTTCAAAATTGCGGACTGGGCTCGGCGGAGCCAGATATCAACTTCGTTCTTATTGGTGAGAGGGGCTCCAAAAAGTACTTTGGATGACTGAGCAAGAGCTTTGCCAGTATGATCATAGTCTGTGCGAAGAGAAATTGTGCATGACCAGGATTTTGCAGCGCTCGACATCGTGCACTCCATAGGACATCTTGAGGAAGGGCGTGTTACACGCATAATTTTGTCTCTCGCATAATAACATCGACTTACCTTGTACACGTGCCACTGTCCCGGGGAACATTGATCTAATGTAATGAAGTTTAGATCGATTGAAGTTACATGACATTTCTGTTCAAAAACCTACCCCGCTGACAGCTTCAACAAGGGAACTTTTCCCAGCTATAAGATATGTTGAGAAATAGAAGTATTATTAGAGAACTGCGCATTGAAAATACCTGATTGACCACCAATAACCACTATGGTTGGAATATCAAGCAGAACACCAGCTCTAACCAATCCACAGTCAGCACCAACAGAGTGACACGAACAACGAGAGGCCTGAACTCACCCCATGGCTCGAAGTTCTTCTATGAGAGCCAACAGCTCCTTACGTCGCCGCATATAGCTGCTAGACGTGATGTTGGCGTCATCATCTCGCTCTGGCGATGAAGCACGTGTAGAACTTCCGTTGGGTAGGTTTGCTGTATTGCCATTCGTAGGGATGGCGGCGCGCCGTTTCTTTCCATTAGTAAAGGGGTTTGGCATCACGTTTCGTGAGGGGGCAATGGAGGGGGGTGAGGATGTTAGCGTCCCATATTAGCCCCGCTCCTTTATAAACCGTTAACACTTGAACCCCAGATAGATAGAACTCACGATGCCCTACGAAGAACAACAACAAACCACAAACCACCCCGATACTAGCACAAACAGAACGTTCCACTTGTACACATCATAGAACGTTCTGAACGTGCCATGCAGTGCCAACTTCCAATTCATAATAACGTGTCCGTGCTGTAAAGCTATATCCGGTGTCGTCTCCGCGGCTTTTGACCAGATAAGCGCTAACAGCGCAACCCGTAATGGCAAAAACTGAATGGTTGCCAGTTGAGCATCATTTATAAGTGGTAGGTAAAGGTAAAGATGGTACCTAAAGCTCGTGTCGGTCTGTGGGAAGGGGGGGGGGTCCTCTCCACACAATAATAGTACCACCATCATAGAAGCTACAAGTGAGCCGCTAGAAAACAACACCAGTGACCTACCGTATACACCTTGTGACAAAGAAGAGAACAAATAAATAAATCGAGAAAGCAACGAGCACTACTAGTAATGGCAAAACCCTGAACTCGTGACTGGACTCAGTGGGTCCCAGCAGCGCTCAGCGCTCAACCAAAGGAATGGATAAGAAAAATGTTTACTCGAATATGTGACTCCCTTATAGAAGACTCGCCAATCCCATGTGTAAGCACATTTAGTTGGGATGTACCTCAGAAAGGCCTTTGAACTTTTCTTCATTGTGACTGGGAACGGACTTACTGCTTGTGCGGTTGTCCTAGCCATAAGTTAGTCTGCGCATCTCCAAACACAAGGCCATCGAGCAAGCGATAGCGACATACAACACACGCATGCAGCAGTCAAGATGTCTCCTTAGATACATCCTTATGGTGGCGTGGTCAATACAAATGCCATTGCGATGTCACTAAGAAACACGCTTTCCAAGTAGTCTTGATTGTTACAAGGCGGCCGAACAACCTAACTTTTACAAGGCAGGGTCACGATTCAAGCTATCCTCTATGCAGTCCAGACCTTGGCGATAAGCTCCGTAAGACCTAACCGAGTCCATGTACGTCAGATGACAACTGATGTAGAAATGGATAGAATGTACGAGACATACCGATATCATTGGTGTTAAATTGATATACACCGACGAGAACGCCGACAGTCACTGTCCTAAGTGCCCAAGATGAGATCGGCCCAAGGACAGGGAACTTCCGCTTGTGGACGTAGTCCACCAAGAAGGAGTCAAACTAGCGCAAGAATCAAAAAGAGAATAAATAAATAAAAATGCAAAACAAGGTGAAATATGGATAATTACGCCAATGTGACTATGCATGACAAGACTGATGCCCAATAGGCCGTCTAACAAGGGATACTGGCTGCCAGTAGTGACGAACGCCGCGGCGGTCATAGGGACGAGAGATGCAGAGAGAAGACGTTCAAATGCCCAGTGGTAAGAGCCGTGTGTTTTGGAGGGTGACGGGAATGACGTAGGGTCATTCACGGTTCCCTTGTAAATGGCTGAAGAAATGAATCTGAGTAGAAGGACTGGCGAAACTGGGAATATGACATACGACCGCCGGGGACGTACTCTGTGCTCGAGCTCGTCGCGCGCCTCACTAGTGTGATATCAGAGAAGGAATATACGGCAAAATCCAGTTCGAATTGCGTACCTTGGATAGCTGCCCGTGGTGTGAAACGACCCGAGAAGGATGAAGCAGCTCTGGGCAGTGCTGTGCGCAACAATGTTGTGGAAGACATGGATACGCTGGTAGTGGGCCTAGGTGTAGAAAATGGAGGGATGGGAGCGTAGTTAGAGCGTTGCTTCAGAGTTGGTTGTGTCTGTCGTCGGCCAATACGCCGGCGAGACCTTCCTGGGAATGACTAATTTTTCCCTCCCGGACACAGAACCAATCACATGCCTCTTATCCGTCTCAGCCGGTTAACGCCGAACGTGGCTCGCCGTTCCTCCGCTTCCTTGCTCCTCTCACCACCACTTCAGGCGCAGATGTTGCCTCGCATTACTTCAATTGCAGTCAGTTCTACTTTCAAACATAAGAGGTTTATAGTCCATGCATGTTCTTGTAAGTGATTTATGTAAAGTAGCCCGAACCAACGATCTCAGAGGCTAACTAGCCGTGCAATCAACCGCTGGGCAAGCAGGTCTCTTGATTCTCTCCATTCATCCATCATCCATGTCTGACCTCGAAAATAACATTCTATTGTCGGGTCTGATCTGTTCTGCTGCTTCAAAATCCACAAACTACAGCAATATCTAGGCTTGCGGTGTCTATTTCCTCGGCGGACGTTTACAATGTCAATGCCGACCATCAGACTGCTGCACCGCCAATCGAAATATACAGTGCCGTGTTTGGCCATTTTTCCAGACGTGTTCGAGACCCTGACTTCGATGTATCAGACGAGGTCATTCGTCTCACCGCTAACTTGTTGTGATCAGTCTCTACGAGGGTCCTACACATCAGGCGTCTCGTGATTTATTGGCCAAACTCCTAAATCTTTCGCTTGACACTGTATCGAACCAAGATAAAACATCTGCCAACTACATGTCTGTCCACTCCATGGCGATGGGCGTTGACGCTGCTCCTGTCATTGAGGAAGTCCAAGGTGAACTGGGCCTAGGTGGCTCTGATCCATTTGTCCAGGTATTGTTCTCCTATGCCAAGTTTTACTGCAGTGAAACGGGAAGTGAGATTGCTTACAGAAGTATACACAACTAGCTCTCGCCAGCAGTGCGCCCCAATCCACGATATTTTTCCTTGCGTGTCTTGTTGACAACTCATACAGCATGCCTGTTACCAATTCGTACCAGTTTAAAAGCACAAATGCGATGGATTACATAGGTCACATAATACCATGATTATGTGTACATGTTTAAGCGACATTATCTTGTGTCAGACAAACCCTGCCTCTCGATTACACTGCTCGACGACTGCCTTGACAGCCTGTGCAATTTCAACAGCGCCCTATCCAAGATAAACAGTGTCAGCCAGTCAATTGAGTTGTTTTCCCCCCAGATCTAGGGGAAAAGTCATACAAACCTTTGTATCCGAGTGACAGCAAATGGACACTTCTGAAATATCGTCGCTCATGGGAAGTAGAGAGCCGGACGTCGTCGTAACTTGGCGCGACTTGAGCAAAGTGCGAACCTAAAAATAAGTCAGTAAACAATGATAACACGATCACTATACGCTTTTTCTTACCCTAGTGCAAATTTCCTCCGTAGGAATATGTTCGTGTATTCTTGAGTAGAGTCTTTAGTACAAAGGATAAAGAATGAAAGAGAAGAAAAAAACAAAAAATCAGTAACTCGATACTTGCTTCGTAATGAGCAGCTTTCCCTCGGGGCTGTAGTTCAAGTCTGCGAACCATTCTATGTCGCAAAAGTCGATGAGCTGCCTAGTTCTACTCAGGAGCCTACACGAGGAGGCGCACACCTGCTATGAAAGGTACGCCCAACTCTTCCGCTGCTTGCTGGTGGGCCGTTCCTGGGAGACCCATGAAAGCAATGCCTCCAGGCTGAGCGGCACTGTCGTTGAAAGTCTTTGCGACACCAACGGCTGCACGTGCGAGCTCGATATCGCGGGAAGTTTGGCCGTAGACGGAGCCGTGTGGTTTGATCTGAAGATGGTGTATACGGTCAGAACTGAGGGCTGTGAGGGTAGTAGTGTTGGATACGTACATGATTCATTAGGAGGCCATGGCGTTTTAAGAAGCCGTTGAGAGCACCGACTTGATAAATAAAACACGAAGCGAGTTCATCCTTCAAACCACGATATATACAAGGATACAATCAGTATTTCTAATGCAATTTTGAAACAATATTCACGGGTTGTATTGCCATCTCTCGTCGTCCAAAACCTTGGAGATCGGGAAGACTAGGATGAGCTCCTACAAGGACGTTGTTCTCTTTTGCGTATATTACAGCTTGGTTCATGACTGAGAAATCTCTGTAGAGGGGTAATTATCAGCTATAGCATATATTTAAGGGAAGGAAGAGACCCAACCCAGCGTGGAACCCACATGCGATGTTTGCTAGGTGGATTGTCTTCATCAAGTTCTCGTCATCTCCCTAGAAACAACCGTACATTGCATGCAATATCAACAGCATAGGTCCTAGGGACGCACGACAGAATAGATAGAGAAGCTCTGGTGCCTTTTCAATATACCAAGTAGCAATATATCAATAAAGTACACACCTCTCCCATGTCACAGTTCACAGTGCCCTTCAATAGTTTGGACGACATATTTCGTAGATACCTGTAGGATTTGGGAGGCTGGGAAGAGATAGATAACACTCGCCATGTGATTTCTCAATAACTAATTTGAATGAGACTTCACACAATGACATACGACGTGACAGGTACTGTATGCCTCTTTCGTCGATAATCCACGGAACGCTCCTCAAAGATGGGCCGGAAAAGATATCAACCACAAATTAAACAAGAGACGCTTGTAAGAGCAAATTCTGAACCGCTGGGCTTCTGGTTAACGCGAAAAGTCCGAGTGGGACGCAGCACAAAGCTGAGGCTGCCATCACGTTCGTTTTAAGCTGGAGTTGGATTTTGTGGATGGTGCAAGATACACAGTTCTCATGACTTGCTGAGAGAAGCGTGGTCCCACAGAAATAAAAGGAGGAACGGCGAAGTCAGCTGTCAGCACGAGTCACGGTGGGTAAAGGTAAATACATGTGGTACTCGATTGGGACTTGGGAAGCTTTCAAAGGCTTTATATAGCTTATGATGTGGCCTGTGGAGTGGCTAGGCGAAGACAGTCTGAATGATGCTATTGTGAGCTACTTATTGCTTGCTTCTAGCTTTTCGCGGAAGTATTCCAGTGACGGGCATTTTCGATATGTTGAAGGGAGGAGTCCAGTTACTGTTCTGGCTGATTGGGCAGTGTCCTCTCTGGCCGACGTCATGCGTGACTTTTTCCTCTTTCTTTCATCAATAGAAACCTGACTTGGCTTCTTCCTCTTGCCTTGAACGATGGAAAGCTGACTCCGCTTGTCACTTTCTTGGGGTGGTCGGTTTTTGGTGGGGATGACTGACCCGGAAGAGGGGCATATTGCGATGTATTTGTGGTTATATCTACTGCCAGAAACAAAGTTAGTTATCAATGGTGAGGGATTGAGGGACGCTCACCTGGGCTGCAGCCCACTCTGAGGCACTGATTGTGTCTCTGCCGTCTCGACGACGGTTCGAAACCCGGTGATTAAAATACCACTCTACCTCTGGATCAGGTGGGACATTGTACATATCCCTCATATCCCGAAAATTTCGCTGTTAAACATGACATTAATTAAAGGTCGCAGTGAGCGGCCGTGCCACTCACTGCGACCTCTGCCATCTCGTTCACCCAGACTAAGCAAGCGTCTAAAATTGATTCGTCTAGCTTTGCAAGGCGTTTAGCCATCATCTCGAGCAAGGCACATTTCCAAAGGCCTTCGCAATCAGGTGCTGGCGTGAGGTTGGTACTCATAGTTTCTGTTATGCGGTGATTAGTGGCAGTAAGTTCTGTAATACACGTATGCCCTTCAGGGGTTTGGAGCTCCGGCGCGCAGTCATGAGCTTGACGGGTAGCTTTGGTTGGATTATGAGCGGTGATGAGAGCAAAGTGAGAGGCCGAGTCGCTGGGGTAGATTGTAGAGACACTGGCAATAACATCAGAGAGACAAAGTCGGTAAATAATGATAAAAATGAAATGATGGAAACACTTACGCCGAGTTGGTCCGCTCGTCGAGGGCAGTTTGTAGTCTCGAAACCTCTTGCTGGTGAAAGCGGTTCTCCTGCTTCAATACTTGATTTTCGCTACTGATCTTACGGAGTTCATCTTCAACTGCTCGTAGCCTCTGTTCTGAGGCCTTTTGCTGTTCGAAACGAGTACGTTCCGTATCTAAAAGACCCACTACCAAACCCATTAATTTATTGTAATTTGATTGACTCTCAAGGAATTGATCTGCGACTACATGACGTTTTCGAACCATTTCACGGAAGTGGCGATTTTCGAGGAGATCCTCATATGACAGGGCATCAATAGAGAAGGGATCGAGTGGGATCGGACGCATTGACTGCAAGGAATGGTTGCCAGCATTGTTTGACGTGTCATTGGCATCCATTAGGTATTACAGTACTTATAGTACCTACACAGGCCTATATAGAGCGGACGCGCCACGTCACTTTTTCACACGTAGACTTGATCATGACTCGGAATGTCTATAATAACTGAACAAAATAACAACCCCTATCGTCCCCAATAATCCCTTTGAGCATATATGACAGTCAACAAAGGTGCGTAGAGGCACTGACCCACTAGTACTGGTGCTGCTGACCAGTAACTGACTAAACACAGCTATGGTCACCTCAAGCTTCTCCCAGTCGCCCTACCTTCGCTTCTCCGCAACCATATTTGCAACTATCTTCCTAGGCTTTGGCATAAATGGCATCCTACGGCCTCGAAATGCAATCGAGTTCTTCGAGTTCGAAGCACCAGCCTCTGCTGTGGACAAGAAACTCGTCGACAACCTGATGGTGCTCTATGGAGCGAGGGACGTGTTCATGGGTCTGGCCATCTACGCAGCCGCGTACTTTGGAGACCGTAAAACATTAGGTTGCATCCTGATAGCTGGCAGCGGTGTAGCGTTGGTGGATGGCGCTGTCTGTAAGGCTCAGGTCGGAAAGGGAGAGTGGAATCACTGGAATTATGCGCCGGTTCTAGCGACGGTTGGGAGTCTGCTGCTCGGTGCTTTGGACCGAGCGTAGGACAGAGAAGCCTGACTCCAGTGAAAGCCGTATCTCTATCTAGCAGAAAGTACTGCGCATAGACTGCTCTGAGCACCACCAGATATGCGTAAGAGCGATTAAGCACGAGGGGTGTCCTTATTCAAGCTTTTCTAATTTTACCTATGGCTAGTCTTCTCTTTTGACCTTATCAAGGTCGAATTTCTTAGGCCTTAGGAAAAGACGGCTAAGCTTAAGTAGGTTGATGTTTTATTAATGCAGTCGTAGCATTTAAATATCCACAGGCTGTCTGGTACCATGGTGAAGTCGATGTAACGTTAACCGCAACGCTTTCCATAGCTGCCAGTGAATGCAAGCGCTGATATTTGAAGTTCTCTGTTTCAAGTTCTGCAGGTCGACCGGTCAAGTGATAAGCGTGTGATGCTGATAGCCCCCGAATTGCTATGGAGAGAGCACGTCTATCATCGCTGATTATCAGCCTTGGCTATTTTGGAGGGCGTAAGTTACTGTGCTGTCTATTTTGGCGACCTTCCTGAACGTACTCCCCAGGCGCTTTGATATACAGGTCCCCCACAAGGTACGCATGACCAAAATACTGCTATCTTTACCTGTCAATCCGGCCGATATGGGATGTTCGTCCCTCAGGATAAGATACCAAGTATCATAAACGCGTCTTTACTCTTCGCCTTCTCAAATATATGTATTCCAACCATAAATTACTTATCGCCAACCGTGGAGAGATAGGTGTTCGTATCATACACACAGCAAGGCAGCTTGGAATTGTCACCTTAGCCATTTACACGTCTTCAGACGCCCTCTCTCCACATGTCTCCCTCGCAGACGAGTCAGTCATGCTGCAGTCCAGTCCCGAAGGCGACTCTGGGGTTGCACCGTCCGAGTCCAAGGCCTACCTTTCTGTCACTCATATTCTCTCCATTTGCAAACAATATAATGTCACGCTTGTTCATCCGGGCTATGGATTCCTCTCCGAGAACGCAGAGTTTTCACGACTCGTTATCGAAGCTGGTATCACCTGGCTCGGACCCCAGCCTCACATTATCGAGATGATGGGGTTGAAGCACGAAGCAAGAGCTATAGCTGCTCAAGCTGGCTTACAGCTTGTCCCAGGCTCACAAGGGCTTCTCAGTCTTTCCAACGACGCCTTGGTAATGGCCAAGGAGGTACGCTTTCCCGTCATGTTAAAAGCGACAGCTGGAGGTGGTGGGATGGGTCTTGTAATTTGCTATAATGAGGAAGAGCTTGTTGAGCGATTTACCGCTACGAAGGAACGCGCTCAGGTTTGTGAAATGCCTCACTCCTGATTGAATGCTCATTTTTCCTCCTTCTTCCAGACCCTTTTCCATCACAATGGAGTTTTCATCGAACGTTATTTCCCAGCTGCACGTCATATTGAAGTTCAGGTACTTCATTCTTTTGCTACAAGTGTTTTGTTCCTCATTAACTATATTCCAGATATTTGGGAATGGCCTGGGTGACGTCGTGCACATGGGAGAGCGAGAATGCAGCGTGCAGCGAAGGCACCAAAAAGTCATCGAGGAGACTCCTAGTCCTTTCTTCTCTCACCATCCTGGTATGTGCCTCATTCGAATATACAATATAGAATGCACTTACTGTTGACATCTGATATTTGCCTTTTTTAACAGGCCTCAGGAATGATATATGTCAGGCTGCAGTTCAATTATGCAAGATGATTAAATATGCTTCTGCAGGTTGGTTGTCGACGAGATGTTGTCTTCATTCAGCTGCTTACCGCGATATAGGCACTGTCGAATTTCTTGTGGATGATAACACAGGAAGTTTTTATTTTCTGGAAATGAACACGCGCATACAGGTACTTATCTCGCCAATATATCCATCAATCTTCATTTTCGACTAAATCGTGTTACAGGTCGAGCACCCCATCACAGAGGCCATCCATCCCGGGCTTGACATCGTCAAACTCATGATCGTGCAAGGCATTGCCCAATTTGAAAACATTGATGGAGGACTAGACTTCCATGCAGCGGGAGTGTCGCAAGACGTCTACGACAGGAACATTGCTGCCGGACAGACGCATGCTATTGAAGCGCGAGTGTACTGCGAGAACCCAGCGGACAGCTTCAGGCCATGTCCTGGGATACTACAGTTCGTAGATCTAGAGGTGAAGGGAAGCGATGAATGGCTGAGGATAGATCATTGGGTATGTGCGTCCATTTGTAGCCGTCATCCGTGTTAAATCACGTTGCTGTCTTGTAATAGATCTCGAGTGGAACGTCGATCACACCTTTCTTCGACCCTCTTTTGTGCAAATTGATCGTAGTCGGCTCAACTAGGGAAGAGGCTATCACGAGATTGATCAAAACACTCGAAGAATGTAAGATTCATGGCCCACCTAATAACATTCACTATTTAAAAGCAATCTGCGAGAGTTCAACGTTCACACTCGGCAAAGCAACGACGAAGTTCCTCGATACCTTTCCCTTCATACCAAAGCAAGTTAATTGTTCAACTTTATTGTCTCGTCGAGCTGACTGGGTTATCATTTGGTGATACTAGAGCTATGGCTGTGATATCTGGTGGGGTCGAGACCACAATCCAAGATCTACCTGGCCGTCGAATTGGATTTGGAATCCCACGAAGTGGGCCCATGGACTCTCAAGCGTTCAGCACAGCCAATCTTCTCGTGGGGAACATGCCGGAGACGGAAGCATTGGAGATCGTCACTTTACCTGGAGCTGACTTCAGGTTGCGTTTCCTTGTGTCAGCAGTGGTAGCAGTGACCGGTAAAAGCGTGCCTGTAAAAATTGATGGTAAGGAAGTGGAGATGTGGACTCGCCTAGTCGTTCCGGCAGATGGAAGGCTTGTCATTGGAAGTAACCAGACCAGCGCAGGATTGAGAGTGTATCTCGCGATAAGGGGTGGATTCCCTGAGGTACCTGAATATCTAGGATCCAAGTCGACGTCCATGGGCACAGGAGGATACCAGGTATAAATTCCTGTACTTATGCACGTTTTGTTTATTGTCTGACATACAAAATGCAGGGAAGAAAGCTGGTGTCTGGAGATCAACTAGCTCTCGGCGATTGCGAGCCTACAGAGGAAGAAGCGACTCAGTCGGCTTCCCAACGAGTACTACACACTCTCATACCTCTCTATCACAAGGATTGGACGGTCTACGTTCTCGCAGGCCCACAAGATGACGAAGAATATTTGTTGAACAAAGGCTCCCAAACGTTTTACTCGACTTCCTGGCGCATAAGCTCTTCGAGTAACCGCATGGGCATACGTCTGGAGAGTAAGGAAAGGTTTGAGTGGGCGAGAAGCAGTGGTGGTGAGGGCGGTTCTCATCCGAGTAATATACTAGATAACGGGTATGCTCTGGGATCGGTGAACGTTAATGGAGATACACCTGTTATCTTGACGCAGGAGGGCCCGGATATGGGCGGGTATGTTTGTGTGTGCACTGTTGCGTCGGCTGAGATGTGAGTGAGCTACTTCTATCCACACCGGATTTCATCTTGGGGTCAATACTAAGTTTGTCTTTAGGTGGAAGTTGGGCCAGTTAAGCCCGGGAAATACTGTCAAATTCCAAAGGATAACGTATGATGATTCTGTGTTGTGTAGAGAAAATCTCGTGCAGTGGTTTGAAGCTATCAAGAGCACATTGGTCGATCCTTCAGTTTCTCCAACGTGGACTCCTGTAGAATTTGAAGATAAACCTCTGCAATCGATATTGCATGCCGTTCCCGAGTCGGAGGACAAAGCAAGACCCGGGATCGTGATACGTCAGGTAAGCTCAAAGATAACCCTGTCCATCTATATGAATTCATTCGTATCGCTTTGAATATGGGCTAGGCTGGAGATTCCGCTGTCCTGGTGGAGTACGGTGATTCACGACTCGACTTCCACATGCGAGCTCGTGTGCATGCGTTGGAAACTGAAGTAGGCAAGAGGGGGGTCAAAGGCGTATGGGCATTTGCGCCTTGCATCCGCTCTACCATGATTCACTACGATCCGGCGGTGATATCCCAGAGAGAACTGCTTGTACTTCTTCTCGACGTCGACTCGTCCCTTCCTGCTTCGATGTCTGAGGTGGAGTTCCCTGGGCGAAGGATAATATTTCCCATTGTGCTCGACGATCAATGGAGCCGAGAGGCATGCCAGAGATACATGAGCACTACGAGAAACAAGGCTGTATATCTTCCTAGCAACATCGACTATCTGGCTAGGAACAATGGTATCCCAGGCGGTGCTTTTGAGACTTTGTGGAAACTGATATCGTCAAACTGGGTAAGTGAGCTAGTTGTCAGTCAAATGTATAGCCCCATCTTCAAAACCGAACAACGTAGCTCGTTTTCGGTGTTGGTTTCTACTTGGCGTGTCCCTTTCTGGTTCCGGTAGGTCTCTTCACGACTTACTGAAATATTTAATGGCTGACTTACATGGGCAGGTCGATCCACGATGTCGATTGGTAGGCCAGAAGATGAATCCTTCGCGGACATTTACTCCCAGGGTACGGATATAAACTTGCAATAGACTACCGGTTGACCCAGATTTTAACAGGGAGCCGTGGGTATTGCTGGCGTGGTGGCTGCCATATATCCCACCGTGTCTCCTGGAGGATACCAGTTGTTTGGGAGGACATTGCCAGGCTGGCAAACGTGGGGAAAGGGAGCGGATTTCCGCTCTGATAGGCCTTGGCTGCTTCGGCCGTTTGATCAGGTAAAGTTATACCATCATATTAGACTTGTGATAGCTTCACTCATTCCCATCAAGATCCACTTCAACCCAGTCAGTGAAAAGGAATATTTAGAGGTGATTTTTGTTGCAAATTTCGTTTGGAGTGACTGAAATTGACTGAAACTCCTTTTAGATAGAAAAGGAGTTTGATGCAGGGCGTTATTCGTTCAAGGTATTTTCTGCGTTATACTATCGATTGGAAAGGGAGGTAATATCGATTATCTATACGTCTAGATTGAGCCCATAACATTTTCTATGGCGAATTATGATCGCTTCACCAAGTTAATCGCAGAGGAGATCACACAGTTCAAAGAAAGACAAGCTAAAGGATCAGCCCAAGAAGAAGCGCGGTATGTCCCACAGATCTATTCTTGTACTTACGGTCTTCGCTCACTATAACTATTCAGCGAGGAAGAGCTTCTTCGCGAATGGCAGGCTGACAAAGAAGCCAAAGAAGCTGAGAGCGCTTTATCTACTGAAGTGGGCGGTACGTAGCGAAAATCACATTCTAACGAAGTTCATAGGTCTCACGAGATACTGAGTAGATGTCAATCACATGGGACCAAAGGTTCAATCGTCGTTGTCAGCTTCGATATGGAAAATCAAGTGTAGTCCTGGAGATGTCGTCAAGTCGCCTGAGGACGTATTGGTCATTCTGGAAGCAATGAAGACAGAAATTGCTGTTCGCGCTGGGGAGGAGAACGTTGGGCGAACAGTGCGGGGTATGGGAAAGGAGATAATAGAAGGTGCCCATGTACAACCTGGTGACGTGCTCGTGCTCCTAGATTGAGTGTGTGGCGATGAACGATGCTATGCAGCATCGTGGGTGCCTAGTATATGCAAATGGAGATGCTCTAAATACTCTTCACACTTTCTAGCTCTACAAGCGCCAGCACTCTGTTTAACTGTACATCACATCTGTAGTACAAGATTGTAATATATGTAACTATTTTAGAAGTAAACTTCGCCCGTAGGCGTTGTATGTACTTCAGGACCATTTTTGAATCTTGCGAGCAAAGCAGGATCCATGATGGAGGCTAAGCAGCCATCGAAGTCTCTGGGAAGAGGCCGTAGGTACCGCTGCTCCAATCGGGACCTCACCATGGATAAAAACACGGCTGATGCGACCCGGGGACGCCAGATATCTTGCTTGTGGCGTCGCCACTCGATTTGACCGAGTCGAACGCGAGAGATGTGAGGAAACGACCCAATCAATATGACGCTTTCGTGCTGCTTGGGAAGATCTAGCATCCAAGAATCATCTAAATTACCAAATATCACGTCCGTCAGCGACTCTACTGTCCTGGCGAATGTCAGAGAACAGCTGTGCGGGGTTTTTTCTTTTCTGTAAGTCAGTAGTTGCAAGGAATTATACCCGGACTTGCCACCGTGATTTCTCGAAGCGACATGCAGCGAAGATTGAATTCGAGGGTAAAGAGTAAGTGGCGGCACCGAAGATGAAATTGATAAGTGATTTTTCTGGCATAGGGAGTTGGTAGAATGCCAAGCGTTTAAGGGAAGGGCAGCGTGGTAGGATCCGTTCAACCAAGTCAGTGACTGTCTCGCCAAACAACAACATGAATTCGCGGTCATTAAATTCAAGGTACAGCTCTTCAATGACTGGATTGTAAGATTGAGAGACAATGTCTTTTGCGAACTCGAAGCTGTCCGGTTCTAAGGATCTTCAAGGCAGGAAATTTGACGCTTTGTAACAAGTTCTTCCTACCCTTGCGATAAATGGTTTCGACCGAGACAGGCTTGACCAGTTTGCCCAAACAAACAACGGCTGACGGTATATTTTCTGACATGCGACAATCCACAAGAATGAGAAATTCAAGATTGGCTATATTGGAGAAAGCGGAGAGCTGCTCGTTTGTGAGTGGAGTGTAAAGAATGGTGAGCGAGCGGATGTTGATCATATGGGCTAATGCCGTTGTTTGTAGACTCAGAGCTGCGCAATTCTCCTGATTTCTCTCTTGAAAGTCCCGCACGATACAGTCTTTGACGAAGAGGGCATTAGAGATTCCAGGCTCTTCGTTCATAGCGATCTGTCTGGTTAAATTCGATAAATATGGAGCAGTATTTGCTTCGGATGGTCTGCCGCTCAGTCGTATGGACTTGAGAATGTGCTGAGATGCTACAAGGTTGAACAGACGGCAAACGCGAGCCGTTCTGTCCAGGAAGGCCTTGTAGTAATACTCTGATATCTCTGATTGGATGTTCTCGAAGATTTCGGAATATATCTCGTTGGGGATAGTGGGAAGTGCTTTATCTCCGATACGGCGCACCGGAGCTATATAAGACGAAGGTAAGAGATCAATCAGCCTGTAAAAAAACACTAATACACAATGAATACGCACTTCAAAAGCTGAAAAAAAAATGGCTGCATGATGACACTGGATGTGTTTATGTTTATGTTTTATCGCGCACTGGCAGTCTGGTATTCTCACAAAAGTTGAGTGTTAGTAGGAAGACACTGCGGTGCGAGATACTTGCATGAGGGTTGGAGGAAGAATTATTGGGCGGTTCGAGTTCGCGACGACAGATTTATATATCTGGTCCATTAAAAAATAAAAAAATGCCCCTTTATCCTGAGCCAAAAAGGGAAGTAGAAATGAGTATTTCCTGATATGGACTTTGGTCATTCAAGTACATAAGTTGAACGTTCGTGTACTGCGCCCACCACGTTCTGTGCGACATGTCTCTCCAGACGTTCATCCTCACCAAGCATCCGATACCTTTCTTTGTGGGGGCTGAGTCTCTGCTGGCCTGGCTGGCGTTGGGTCCTTCGCCTAGTCTTGTTCCTTTGATTCTCTTACTGTCTGTTGCACGCGTTCATGCACAACGCATCATCTATCGACCATCACGAGGCCTAGAGGCTTTTCTCTCCTGGCTATTCGTATCAATCGCTGCGTCTCTCTCTTATCGCTCATCAGCGTCGAATGCATTGCCAAGTCATACAGCAGCGTTCTTCGCTCTGCTATTCATATCAGGTATACCATCGTTATGCGCCATGTTCGCCATCTCTGTTGACGTGCTCCTGGCTGGCCGCGTCAGAGCGCCTTGGGCCCGGATGACGCTGTTTCCAACTATATGGGCACTGGTATGGAGCGTTGCTTCTCATACATTTCCATTGGGGAGACTCCTCTCCTGGAGTCCTGCCTCGAGTTCGCACCCGTACACTTGGATGCTTGGGTATACAGGTCCTGCAGGTATTGACTGGATAGTCGGCGCATGGGCTGTCTTGGGCTCAGAATTAGCTGGGAGATGGTTGATGGGCCGAGAAAGTCTTGATGACTTGTCTTCTCAATCACTTATACACCATCCCGACCCGGACGCCACATACTCTGAGACTGCAGAAACGTCCACTGCTCCAGCATCTCGCAAGTTCTTGCCTCTCGGGGCATTTCTGTTTGCGTTCTCACTCCCATCCATTTTCGCCGAATTACCTCGCCGTCCCTACGACTCCTCATCAACCCCACTCATGGTGGGTTGTGTCCTTCCAACTCCAACGGTAGGCAAACATCTATCGCTCGACGATTACATCTCAACATCTGCCACAATGACTGAAGCAAAGGTTTTGCTGTGGCCAGAGACCGCTGTCATGTTTAACAGTCCAGAGGAGAGGGAGCTGGCGTTTGAGAAAATTCGCAAGGTTCCAGGACCACTCATTGGAGTTCCATTTGAGGAATATGTGCCAGATTCAGACGACACGCCGGATAGCCCGAATCGCAGGACAGGCTCTAAACGTAATGGCTTGGCCCTTATCAGTTCTTCCCAGAAACCAGGAGACGAAATAGTGCAATATTACAAACGCAACCTCGTTCCAAGTATGTCTTCTGATGTGCTTACGGTTTGAGGAGTACTAACGTTGTCTATAGTTGCAGAGTCTTTCTCAATGACCCCTTCGGTTGACCCGCCCACCATATACAATTTGAACCTCACTCATCCGAAAGGCATTACTGCACCAAGCTGGTCTCCGCTACCGGACCACATACGTCCCATCCCTATCACCACCTCCATCTGCTTCGACTTTGCCTCGCCCACAGCATTCTCAGACCTCCCATCCCGCCCTGCTCTAATCCTCGCCCCCGCTCGCACCTGGGACACAGCCGTCAGTCTCGCCATGTGGGAACAAGCGAAGACACGTGCGGCAGAGTCGGGGAGCATGGTGCTGTGGTGTGACGGGGGTGCGGGTGGCGTGAGTGGGATTGGAGGACAGGGTATAGGTGAGATTATGCAGGTGGGGGCTGGGTCGTGGAAGAGGTATGTGGGGGTGCAGTGGCCTTTTGATGAGCGGAAGACGGTGTATGCGGCTGTTGGGGAAAGTGAGGTGTTGGCGTTCTTGGTCTTGCTCATGGGATCGGGCTCGGTGGGATCTGAGTTGTTGACTCGAGCGAATAATGGAAACCGCATCTTGGTGTCTCTAGGTCAGGCTATCATGGCAGCTATACCGGCCGTGAGCTCTATGCTTCGTAGAAACCGAAAAGAGCCTCCGAACCTGATTGACATTGAAGACGAAGGCGAAAGGCGGCCATTGTTGAACTGATTTTTTTTATAGTGCAGCTTTCTAAAAGTGTATCATCTTTCTTTCTTTTCTTTTTTTGGTGCGTTCCTATTACTAGTCATTTTTGCATCGTTGCGACTTGTGTACTTGTATTCATGCTGTATTTTCCTCAATTCAAGGCTCTGCTACTGAACACTTGGGACGCTAGCTAGACTAGATATCGTTCAATTAAAAAACAACATTTTGGAGGTGTCAAAGAGACTACTCCACCATGGAAAATCAAGTCAAGAAATCGAGTCACAGATTGAAATAGGATGACTTTTTTTTTTGGCAACTTGGTGAACTGTGATCAGCACTCAGAAGCGTCAACGGCGATGTTACCAACGATGACACTTGATGAGTGATCACACTGGCCTCTTGGAAGTTGCTATAAACGCGAATCTTAAGGAAACACCCGCTCGAACCCCCTCAGATAGGCGTTGGATGCAATTATTGCCTTGGAGGGAGGGCATGTAATGGAAACTTGATTGGTTCTGAGCTGGAGAATATTGAACCCAAAGATCTGGATGATAATGTCATTGTGGATTTGTGAAGACCTAAGACCGTAGCAGCCCTCGAAACGACAGAAATACTATAAACGAACTGGTCATGAGTTGCATGTACAGTGCGATGATAGGAAAGTTTGCGTTCGTGGGCTCACTAGCGCTCACTGATAACGCCGCGCTCTGAATTCTAGACTGCCTTTTGCGCTTTCGCAGATCAGAGCTCTTCGTATTTGGATCCTTGACGTTACCATGCCAGGGTCCTGCTCAAGAAAAAGGGTTGTAAGCTGATAACTTATTCAGCCGCCAGCTCACTCTCATCAAAAGGCCTCGTGTACCACACGGATACCTCCTAGACGTAAACCTTCAAGAAGCGCGCATGAGAATAAATAAATAGCAAGCAACACGCTTCCCCAGTTCATCCATTCCCGTCATGCCTGACGTCGAAATAAGAAACAATACCGACATTCCGCTACGCATAGCTATCATATTTTGTGCTCCCATACATTTCGACAATCATGTCACACCAGGGAATTCATTGAAAGCACATGTTGGCTCTGTGAGTGCTGATTTGAGGAAGCTGTCGTCAAAATTTTTACCCAATTGATGGTGCAGTTTTTCTTCACCTTTGAGGCGCGGAGTGTTGAAAATGGCAACGAATATTCAATGGGAGATTCCCTCGCGAGAGCTGGAATGATTACTGGCGCAGTGGTATGTATCTCGAACTCTGTAACCTTATGCCTTGCTAATCGGCCCCCAAGGCTGCTGGAACAGCATCAGTCCTCATGGGGGCAGTGGGTGGCATTTTCGGATGGGGGGCCTCGGCATCCCTGATGCAAGGCGCACATGCTGGTAAGCCCGTCCTGAATGGAATCTGAAGTTAGCGTACGCTGAGCTTGGGGTTTAGGTGGAGCTGCATATGCGACACCCTCCGGAGGAATTGTCATGCGTAGCGATCGAACAGTTGGTTTCGAAAACTTGACGTTTTCGGTTTGCAAAAGAAACGATCAGTACGAGCTTGTGCAATTATGACAGGAACTGACCTCGATGTAAATGGCCGCGTTGTTCCTAGATGTAGGGAGATGCTGTGCTATCGCATAGTAATAATTGCATTTGTGTTATTTCATTCCGTTGTATTGTTGGGGTTCTGGTTCGATATCTATAAAGTCGTTCTGCGTAATGAGGACCGGCAGTATTATTGACCCGTATGATAGAAATGATAGACGAATTGAGCGTCGACAGACTAAGCCATACAATGAACAAGCAAGTATTAGGAGTTTGCCACAATCTCAGTGAAGGCGGAGTGCGAGCGGACATTGCCGCGGAGACTCGAGCTCATCGCGCAGAACGAACGGTGCAACGGAGTTGTTTATTCCCTCCTCATAATCTGCGTGGTATTGGTATTCGCTTTGGAAGTCTGAACTAAGACCTCAGAGGTTATAGCTTCCAAGTTAGTTCTCCGCGTTACAGCGTCAAGGTTCGTCGGATTTCGGAAATTAATGGGCTTAGAGTAGCAATCCTCTGAATCATAAATATGCAGCTATCAACGAAGCTCGCCTGCCTGCTTTAGCTACTTCGTCTCGAAGAATGGGCGGGAAAATAAATAGGTTGGCGAAGGTTGCTCGCCTCCGTACTCGCCGTGGGTAGGATGCCTGCTTTGAAAGGTCAGACTATCTTTGGGTCACCTTGTCTTCGAATACTAATCCTACGATTGCTGGAAAACTATCATTCTCGGCTTCTTAGGATATCCTCCTCAGCACCTCCAAGATGGTGTATCTAAACACCAAGTGCTTTTTTTTGTCTTATATATCGTGCAAACGCTGACGCAAACCGGATACACGTGTCCAAGACTATATTTTCTAACTTGAAAACATGTAGGACACCACGTCTACCATTGCTGGCAAGAAGTGGAGAGTGAATCATTGCCACGTGTTCTGCTTGGAGCTCTGTTATCTGTAGGAGCCCGTCTCTTGCACCACCCTATCTGTTAAAGACAAGCCGGAACCATTCTTAAGTGAGTGGGAACTGCAAAATCGAAATTCTCGGTCTGGGAAGCATGTCAATGAGATAATTAGATGACCAGGCTTACTGATTTCATACTGCTTCAGTAATGTAGACACCACTTTTCACCCGTCACGGTGCTCACAGGGCGTTGCCAGATATACTCGAGGTGCTTTTGCATAACATATATAAAGGGTTTCATTCGGCCATCTTCCACCAGATAATCTACCACACATACTCGTGAGTTCTACTACTTCTCATTTTTTATTTGAATCTATGTTGATCATGAATGTCACCAGGACAACATGCCTGCTCGCACTCACTATGGCGGATGGTTGCCCCGTGATCATGAATTCCTCAAGGATTGGATTCACAAAAGGATTGAAAAGTTAGGGCGAGCCCGTTCTGATGGCGACCTCCTCCCTGTTATCAAAGAATTCAAAAATTTGATAGAGACGGATTATCAAATCTTCATATATTTCCAACAAGGGTTTGAGCAATTAGTGCGCGAGAACAACGATGCACAAGACCGAAATTATGTATGTACATCCTATTCAACGATTTATTTTCAGTAAAGGCTTATCCACGAATAGGTAAACAACTACACAACCATGCTGCATTTGATGAACGATACCATTCAGCAAGCGCCCGCATTTGTACAAAGTGGAGAAGGGAATGTGATCGGTGTTCCTTTGTATGCTATCCTCGACTCAATTATGAACACTACCGGTGGATTTGCCGCGTTCGTCAACCCCAAAGTCAATCTGCAACTCTACAATGTGCTCACATATTGGTCGAACTACCTTGTAACGCCTGACTCGCGCCATGTACTCACAGATGCAGACGAAGGCTGGTTCGGTCTTAAAGCGACAAGTATGATGCCAAACTTCGCCGAGACCTACGTTTGTCAACCGGATAAGCCATACCACGGATTCACCTCATGGGATGAGTTCTTCACTAGACTCTTCCGGCCTGGCAAGCGCCCCGTCTTCCCGGATGAAGATAATTTTATCAACAATGCTTGCGAGTCCACCGTCTTTCGCAAGGCCTCCGATGTAAAAGAAAACGACACATTTTGGCTCAAGGGGCAGCCGTACTCTCTCGTCGACATGCTTAACAATGACTCCTTTGCTCCCCAATTCGCTGGCGGGACTGTCTACCAGGCTTTCCTCAGCCCTCTCGATTACCATCGTTGGCACAGCCCTGTAAACGGCACTATCGAGAAGACTGTTCTGCTCCCAGGCACCTATTATTCTGCAGTCCCAGACAATGAGGGTGATGGTGCCATCATTCGATCCCAGCCATACATCACGGCAGTCGCCGCTCGCGCATTGATCTTCATCAGATCATCCAATCCTAGCATCGGCTTGATGTGCTTTGTGGGTGTAGGGATGGTGGAGGTTTCGAGCTGTGAAATCATTGTAAATCCAGGAGATAAGGTCTCGAAGGGTCAGCAAATTGGGATGTTCCATTTCGGCGGGTCTACGCACTGTCTCATCTTCCGCCCCGAAACAAAACTCGTGTTCACTGAAGAGGCTGGTGACGATAAACATGTCGAAGTCAATTTGGGCATTGCACATGTAACTAATTGAGGCTGCAAAGGAGTAAGTATGTAGTATGCTTTCCGAGTCTACTGTCGAAATGTTGCAGTTGTATTAGTACAGGTTTTTTGAACACTTGTCTACATGTTTTTGGACTCTGTAAACGAGCTTGAACTGGCATTGAAGTCAACTCAACCCGCTCTCGAATGCGAAATGATGTTTTCCAAAGCATTGTAATGTCACTTTTGCTCTCACTGTTCATAATCAATCTCTATACTGCGTGTTTGCATGGCGGGTCGGATGCATAAAGCAAAGTCCAGAGATGATCGCAAAGTCACAGAGAATATTAGCCATGTGCTGAGCAGGGAATCGGACGCAGCCTTGATCACAGTGCGAGCGCATGTAGAGTTTGTCTGACCTTCGACTACACCCAAAAAGGATTAAAAGCCAACGCCGGGTAGATGGTGGGGTGAGACCAAGATGAGAAGGACAATCCGGGCTTTGAATCGTGACGTGAACAACACGCGATGATATTATATTCAAAGAAACAGATAGTGATCTTGATGGGCCCCTGAAGAAAAAGAGACAGGACCGGGAACTGGAGCCTATGAGACTTTGGAGCACTCGTACAACAAAGTCGTCATCACCATAGGAGGTCAGGGGTCATAAATGGATAGGTCTTGGAGAACGACACTATGCTCTTCATGACGCCATTGTCCAAATGTGTTGGGATTATCCCCTATTAGTTATGCTGTTATAATGTCGAGTTTTTGATGTGAAGATAATATCTCCTCGCGTAATCCCCGTTTATTTCCATGATGCCAGACGTGGAGGTCAAAAATGAAACCAGTGTTCCTCTTCGTATTGCAATGATTGCTGTTTCGCCGATACATTGTGATAACTATGTTGAGGCGGGACAATCGTTCAATGCACACGTAGGCTCTGTGAGTGCATCTTTACTAACTTCGTCAGCGGTACTAATTGAAAAGCAGTTTCAATTTACCTTCGAAGCGCGGACAATCGAGAACGGAAACGAATACTCGGTGGAGGACTCCCTGGCTAAAGCAGGCCTAATATCTGGTGCAGTGGTATGCTTGCGAAAAGCTTGTAACGTCCTACATTGTTCACCACACCTCAGGCGGCTGGAACGGCATCAGTTGCCCTTAGCATGTCAGGCCCTGAAGCTGGTGGTATATCTCCACTGTTGATGAAGGGTGCTCAATCTGGTGAGCGAATTGCTATACTCGATTGCGGGAAGTTTTGAGCATTGGTCCAGCTGGTGAGGCGTATGGCACACCCGCTCAAGGGGTTGTCCTACAGAATAGCCGCCCAGTGGGTTTTGAAAACCTTATCTTTTCGATTCGCACGGAAAACGACCAGTATCAGCTTGTGGAGGCGTAAACAATGACTTCAACTGTAGTAAATCACTATAATATGAAGCAGCCCAAACTCCTGTACGCGATTTCTTGAGCCCAATAATGATAGTCATAGCCCTAGCTTCGAGATTTGCGGCCAGTGTGAAGGTCAATCGCAGAGTCGATAAGGAGCTTCTCGTTTAGAGTACTGCGCGGATCCCTCCTAAAAAGAAGCCTTTTGAGTAGCGCTGGCAGGAGTAGATAAAGACCCAACCAGTATGTGTCCCTCGTCTACTCGAGTCCACTCCTCAAATGCCAGACATTGAAATTAGAAACGACACAGGCATTCCTCTGCGCATCGCGCTCGTTTTTGTTGCGCCCGTCCAGTTCAACAATTATGTACTCCCTGGACAATCATTTAGAGACCATGTAGCCTCCGTATGTGGATTTTGCAGTATTTCCAGCAATTTGCTGGCTGATCACAGTGCAGTTGTTCTTTACCATCGAAGCACGGAGGATTCAGAACGGCAACGAATATACGTTAGGAAATTCCCTGGCAAAAGCAGGGATGATCGTGGGAGCTGTGGTGAGTCTGCCTGGAGTATACGACACTTTTTTTTTACCTTGCTTATCATACTACAATCAAAGGCTGCAGGGACGGCGTCTGTCCTCCTCGGGGTTTTAGGCTCAGGTCCGCTTAGGTGGGCTGCACCACCGCTTTTGATGAAAGCTGCCCAAGCTGGTGAGTTGACTCGTTGATTGGCCAAGTACATAGGGCTGAGCATGAATTTAGGAGGCAATACATATGCTACACCTGCAGAAGGTGTTATGATGCAATGTGAAAGAGCGATTGGTTTTGAAAACGTTCGGTTTGCTATTCGCATGCAGGACAACCAATACCAGCTTGTACAGTTGTGAACACTCTGTCACGTGAATAAACTTCCATGCACGTTACGAGATATATGTAGATCCATGCTGTCGTACTATACCTGTGTAAATGTTGATCTTGAGTAATCGCAGTTGGTATATATTTGAGTCCTCTGAGCGTGATATGTGCCTTGAATGACTGATCAGACGTTGCGGCATGTAATACAACCTCGAGCCTGTATTGGGGTGATAACTTGCCTTGCAAACTTCCTCATCCATCCTCATCCTGGGGCCAAACACATTGACACCAAAGCCTGGTACTGTTATTGTATCTTGGGGTGGAAAACGAATGAAAGCCGTCTTGGTCTTCCTTTTGGTATCGAGCTGCGTTGGATCTACGTTGCTGGTCCGAACGAACAGTGGAACCCGCGTCGTGATGTCTTTAGGCCAACCTGTCATAGGAACTATCCTGGCCGTCAGCCATATACTTCGTAGAAATAGAAAGGAGTCTCCGAACCTAATCGACGTTGACGAAGATGAAAGGCGGCCGTTGTGGAATGCCGAAATCATTTGAAGATGCAGGTTCCAAAAAGCGTATCACTTTCCTCTTTTTCACTTTCTTTCTTTCCCCCCCGTTTTGGCGCATTCACATATTAGCTAGTCATTCTTGCTATCATCGTTGCGACTTGTGTACTTGTATTCAACTTCAATTCAAAGCTCTCTGCTACTGAACAGTTGACCCTAACTACGAATAGATATCGTTCAATCAAATAATAACATTCTGGGGGTATTGAAGGGACTACTCAGCCAGGTTCGGCCAATGAGGTACGCCTAAACAAACCAAACTATGAACCATACAGTTATTGAAATTCCTATTATATTCAGGACACGGCAGAAGGCGTGCTATACCAGGGCGCCAAACACCACTTTCTGCCTCACGCCGCCACTCGATCTTGTCGAGTCTGATACAAGAGACATTCGGCATGCCTTGGCAGACGGAAGGGATGATGTGGTCGCGCTGATAGTGGATATCGAGTGTCCACTTTTCCAATGAACAGTAAGGACAAACGAGTGAAAGACGTCGAAGTGATTCTGAGAGTTGGGCGTTCCCGGAACATAAGCGGAGGACCTATATACACAACCCGTGAGCTGGATGGTTATCAAGAACTAAATCTAAAAAGACTTGCCCTAATAACAGTATCAACTTTTTTGATACTCTTACAGGGCCTAAATTCAACAGAATGAAGTGATGGGGGAGGCAGTATACCGAGAGTGACAGGTATATCTAACGAGATATCCCATATAGGTGTCACTGATGCAAAGGACATAAGAGTCAAGTGAGTGAGGGAGGCGCAATGTGACAAAATTTGAGTAATAGCGATAGAGGGACTACTTGGGTTTGTTGAAGTATCCTCGGGGTTAGATGAGAGGTGTAACTCTTTGACGTGTCGATAGAACGAGGTGGGGAGCTCAGATGCAAACAGTATGTCAGCCTTGAGGACATTGAGAGCAGGACATGCAATCCGTTTGGCAAAACCGTCTGTGTCTGTATAGCTGCACATGGTCAATTCGAAGTTTGTCAGCCTAGGCAATGATAATGTCGTCAATTGCATTGCAGATATGTGACATTCGGTGAAGACGAGGGACTTTAAGTTGACTAGGTCTGATATGGATGATAGGAGCTGATCTTGGATGGGAGTCTGATGAATGGTTAATGATACAATGTTGGACATCCGAGCCATTGCTTTTGAAGAAAGCGAGAGGAAAGCTGAGCGGAAAAAATCAGGCTCGATGTCTGCTAGGAAGTGCTCAATGAAGCATTCTTTAACATAGAGCGCAATCGACGCGCCAGGTTCAACGCCCTCGATAATCTGCCTGGACAACTTGCTCATCCGACTGCAGTTGCTAGCTTCCAGGGGACTGAATGTGATAGACCCGAATATGCGTGGTAACGCGACGGAAGCAAAGAAACGACAGACGACGGCCATTCTAGACAGAGTGTTATAGTAGTCTGATTTCGTGACGTAGTCCAAAGGCAGGATGTTGTCAAATATCTCAAGGTAAATCTCGTTGGGAATGATGGACAATGGTCTGGACATATCTTCCGTACGGCGCTCTGGAGCTAAAGAAAACAACGGGATAGAGGAGGAGTAAGTGGGAGGGGGGAAAGAGGTGATGGGTTTACGCACTGGACCACTGAAGGAGACTGGAAAATGTCATGGTTATCGTTGGCCCAGGAATGTCCTCACTGGCAGTCAATTCGGAGTCGGAGTCCTTTATTTAAGTATTTTGGTTAAACCCTAACCCGATACCCCCCTCAAACTCCATTCGCCAAAATCACTTACATCTTCTTTGCTGTAATTAATTGTCGACAGGGTCTAGTCTTCATACTTAACCTCAGGCCAGTCGCCTTTACAGTGACTAGATCCAAAATCCAAGACCGCACACGCCTGGATCCTTCCTATGTCAGTCGAAACCGAATCGAAGGTTATTGATAGGCAGGAAAGCGGATGTCTGATTAAGTGGGAGAGACTGCTGCACGATGCCGTCCTTGTCAGGGACCCCGCCTGGTGGATAGTGCTCCTTTCTGAACCTCTTACAACTTGTCAAGGGTTAAGTAATGCAAGAGGCAGTAGATGAAGATTGTACGCGAGTTCAGTGCCTGTTCTGTGAATGCCGCGGAGCCAATGATGAACCACCTAAGAAAAAGTAGTATTGGATCCTCGAAAGCAAGCAAGTTGAAAATGGTAGGTACTCTTTGATTGGGTTAGTCTACAATGTTCTGCGCAGCACAAATTTTATTACATTTAGCATAAAACTCTTTCTTCGCCTGCTCGTTATCAGCGGTTGAGTCGGGTTTTCAGAATTGCTGGTCCGTTCCTTCCTTGCAACCTCGTACTCTGCTTCAAATCGCGCCCCATTGCCAAACTATCGGCGCTGTTTCATGGTTAGCGGGTGGAGGACATAGTAGGATGCGAGTAGGTTGCATGGTGGTAAGTCGCACTAGTACTGAAGGTACTACTAGTGGACTGACCCTAACCCGATGCCACGGCAAGTCCCGCCCCCCTAACAAAATTCTGTCTTTTTGCTGTTGACTGTCATGGCTGCCCGCTCATTACCCGTCTGTCGCCTGAACCACGTCCTGCTACAGCGCACCCGCCATCTCTCCACCACAAAAGCACTTTTATCTGCACCACCACCATCAAAAGTACTACCGCCTCCACCACCGCAACGATGGCTCACAAAAAAGGTCAAAGAGTCCCCGACCGCCCTTAAGATATTCATCAAAGTCGCGCATGCTCTCGGCTATGGTAGTCCCCGCCAGCTCTCAGCACGTCGCGCCCTTCATCTCTATAAAGAGCTCTGCGCCGTCCGCGCAGATGACGAACGTGACTTTTGGCTTAACCGCAAGTGCTTTCCTATTCTCATTACGCTAACCTCTGATCTCTTCTCGTTTAGAATGCCACCTTCCACCAACGTTCCAGTCCTGGTTCACCATCACTAATCTCCACGTCTGGCTCCTCACCGTTCGCCTCCGCGCTCTCCCTTCTCCTCACGGTACAGACCACGTACAAGCCCTCATCGACCATTTCTTCCTCGACGTCGAAGACCGCATTCGCGCAGTCCTCCAACCAGGTCTCCTCCCCTTCTCACCACTTTCCTCTCCATCTCCCCTCCCCTCCCCTACTTCTTCCCCCAGTACGCCCACATCCTCCTCTCTAACCGCCTTCTACCCTACCCCGCCTCCAGCCACCACACCCTCCGCCGTCAAACGCGAGCGCCTCGCCCGCGCCCCCGAACGCGTCGTAAACCAGCAGATGAAGATCTTCCGCGAACAGTGGGCGGGTATGAGCCTGTCGTTTGATCTGGGGCTTGTTAAGGGAGACACGGAGATGGCAGCTGCAGTTTGGAGGAATTTGTTGGGCGCGAGGGGTGCGAGGGGGATTCTGTTTGACGAGCCCTCTTCCCCATCATCATCTTCTCCCGCTTCCGCTTCCACCTCCTACTACCGCCGCTCCATCAACCTGGTCGGCGGCTCCTCCTCCCCGATCCGCGCCACGGACTCACAAGGCCTCCTCCTCTCCGAAGCCCAAGACGACAACTCGGGCGTGCACGACTTTTCCCCCGGTGCCGACTCGGACAAGTACGTTACTTATCCGGAGGTAATGGAGAGGGTAATTGGGTATGTGAGGAGGGAGGTGGTGAGGATGGAGAGTGTTGAGGATGTAGATGTTATGGGTGTGAGGAGGACGGGGAGAGAAGGAGAGGGGGTGGATGCTTTGAAGTTTGGGAAGATTTAGGTGTCGGAGTGGAGGTAGTGGCAAGGCAGGCACCGTGACCGACGACTGATCAAACTAATAATGACTGATGAGCTTAGCCTATTATACCTATTGGCCTAGACATGACTCATTGACTTGCACGTTTTTAGACTAAATAAAGATATTAAGAGTCATAAACCATAAATGTCGAGTGTTTCTTTTGCTGTAGGCGGCGTAGAAACATTAATGATGCACATTCCCCCAGCTCAGTCCCGTGTGCCGCTAAGTTTATTGTGATTATTACGATGAGATGTCAACATCCCGAACGGCGGGTCGGTGCGACTTCGACCCCTAAACCGTCGGCGGACAGCACATAGTGCGGAGCGTACTAGAGTATCAACCTACGACTATCGTACAGGGGCTCGATTTCGAGCCAGTTTCTTAAATCACTAAAATGAGTCGTTCGAGTCACAGACTCCTAGACTTCTTTGGTGACTCAGTTGACGATAGTTAACGGTGGTGTTAACAATAATACAGCAAGTCAGTATCGCACTGGCCTTTTGGGGGTTGCTGTAAATGCGAAATGTAAGGAGTCACCCGCTCGAATCCCCTCAAATCTCACAAGCTCACTCATCCACTCCGATTCAGGAGGGTTGACGGCCCGTGTAGCGTCCAGCTGCAGAGTTGCTACGCCAGTTCCCGGGCTACCATATCTGTAGCCGCAATGGACAAGGGTAGACTTATGCTTTGGGTCCTTGAAAAAAGCGATGGCACTCTGCAGTTGTTTGAATCGTGGCAGCAGTAAGTCTTCGACATGGAGGTGAAGATTTTTGCATATTTCAGCGGTTGCATTTCCCCAGCCTTGTAAGGAACCTGATAGAAGCTAATGATGCTGCGTCAATGCCCTTGGTTCGGAGATATTTCCGGCATTTATGAGCTTCCAGGAGCTTCCACCACCAGTGTAGTTGGGAACGGAGGAGTGGTAGAGCGAACTTGTCACAAACTTTGCCACTTTATCCATTGCTTCCATTCGGTAGACATGACAATGACTGCAGAGAGTGTGCATGTCGGAAGTGTATATTCAAAGGAGTCATAATTATTTCGTACCATGTTCAAATTAAAAGAGGAGTTTGAGGTGAGTGAGTCCATGGAATAGTTGAAGAATTTACAACAAGGACCCGTGATGGGAAGATTCTATCAGGCTGGTGACATGCGAAGCTTGGGCGGCTGCCATCGGCGATGAGAAATCTCTTCAAATGATTTAATTTTCCATTCGTTTGACTGAAATAATATTGATCAATTTCACCACGGTATTACGACCGCTTGTGTTGTGCTTTCTGCGACTCAACTCTCCATAGTATGTGCATTCACCAACCATGGCTTAGTAAAATGAGCACTAGTATTGTCACGAACCTTCGATAGCATCCACTTTACGCCGTTTATGTGTCATGCAGGTCCTGGGCTAACAGTAAGTTGCCTAGGATTACGTCGGACGCTAGGTGCAGGTCGGCACAGCGTGACATTTAAGTGACCTCAGCCAAAACATGACATTTTGGCAGAGAGTAACTTTGGCATGACTTCGCAAAAAGGTCGGACTCGAGGAACAGTCCATTGCTCTACTCCGTCTACCCCGAACGTGGTTTGCATGGGCGAAAAACCCAATACCAAGTGCGGATAAACTCAGAGTAAGCCAAGATTACATCTATTTGGCGAAGTTCCGACCTGATTCCAGGCAAGGGTATCCTGCCTCGAGTCCTTGGAATAGCTTTAAAGAACGGGTTTCTAGGCTTTCACAATTGCCACGAAGTGTCCATGATAGGGTACGGTTTATGACGACGTTAAGGAGGTGGCCGCCTGGGGCTGCAACGAGTAGTATCTTCTTTACCAAAATCACTGCGTTTGCAGTTATTACACCCACACGGTGTACTGGAACTCTGACAGAAGTAAGAAGTCCAGGTCACAGCACGGGGAACTAAGTTACCACACTACTCACCACATCTATGGAATTCGAGAGAAAGTAGCCACGGTGACGGCGTTTGGCACGATAGGCATGGGTAAGTCTTGTCCGATAGAGTAAGAGAATGTCTGTACGTGTTATCATCTAGCGCTAGTAGCCCTTGAGAGGGGTGATCTGTAATGTTAATGCGAGTTGATCATCACGTTCCAAACGAGCTACATTTGATGACGTTTATGTACTTGAATAGCGAATGCGAGCACTTGAACATGGTGCGGATGAGCTTGAAAATGTATGATAAGATGAATTTGAGGCTTTTCTGGCCGGCGCCTGGTTGGTCAAGATATGCATCTGAGTGAGTGCAATTAGCCTTGGTCCAATTATCCTATTCAATGCACACCACGTGACTGGCCCCTCACAGGCCTCACTCGCCGTTTTGCAGAAAATTCTGTTTGATACAAAATAAACGAATGGGGCCTTTGCTTATCATGAACTTGGGAAGGAACAATCGTCCTCCCCCGAATCCTTTGGACCGCCTACAGGGGCCGATATCCACCGATATAACCACATCCACGAAAGAGACTGCTGTAACGTGACAGCAAACAGCAGCCTGACTCGGCACAACAGATCATGTTCAAGTTGTTGACCATGTTCGAGTTGTTGACTATGTTCAGGTATTTGACCTCTGCACCTCTGGTATGGCGCATAAAGCTGGTGTCAATGCGCTATTGTTTCAAGATAATTGCTCTGCACGCTATAAGGTGGAGTAATCATCCCTGCCTTCCACAGAGAACAATGAGATTCAGACCCCTTGCCATGGAATTTCGAATGCACCGGTACTACCCCAACACAAGGCGTTAGTAATAGCCAAGCATTTACAAAAATGGCATATCAATGTCGCTAATGGAGAGACAAGACCGCTACTAAGCGGGAAAGTAATGAAAAATGGAGGATGGTCGCTTGAAGCGGCGGGATAAAGTGTATAGGAATGATATGTGATCACACGTGTGCAGTTCACGGTGATGTTCTCGAAGAATCATCAACTCCAATAATGGCGAACGAAGCAATGACTACAGGAGTAATGAAGATAAGCCCGCGACTGTAAACGATTCATTTTACGATAATAACGCCCCGCTTTATGCCTCTGGGTTTGTTCCCCGTTTGCCTTCAACGGGTCATCTTCCATTCACCGTTTCTTCTCTTCGTTACAAGTCTATTAATCCGTCGTATATGGTTAATGTGTTCAACCTTCCTAATCAGGTGTGAGTGATCATGTTTGTGGTACGTTATAATTTTCAGGTATATGCCTCGAACAAGACGGTTTACAGTTTAATATTCAGCTTTCCTCCAGCACGAAGGTATAAAACGAGTACAGCTCATCTTTGTATCGTCAGTTCCCCATTCTTCACTACCAGTACGCATTCAAACGTCCTCACCTTGAGAGTTTCCCTACAGTTTGCTAATGCTTCATACAGATATTCACTCCGTTGCTGTGATCACCGCCGCACCCATCATCTATTTCTCAGCCCCAGTATCTTGTGAGTCTCTTGCCACCAAAGCAATAGGATGTGCTTGCTAACATAGGGTACCATTCAGGAATTTCATTTACCATGTCTTCCGAAGTTGAAGCCGCTTCTGCCGTCGAACTTGCCTCAATCCCTAATAGTAAGCCCTCTGATGCTCAATGCCTGAACTTCAGCTGACCGGATTCACTCGTGTCTTCTAGCCCCCGCCGCATTTTTTGTCCAGGCCGCAGCCGAGAGCCCCGACTTGGCCGCTGACATTGAAGAAGTACAGGAGACCGCGTTTGGAAAAGAACGTGGTATTACAGATGGAGCTCTTGCAGTTGCGGCCGTCAAAGGGCGTTTGACTTTTACTGTCGATAGCGTCAGTGGAGTGGGAAAGCACTCCGAGGGCCGTGACAAGTCCGGAACTGGTGCTTTCAAGGGATCTAAAATCCCCACCAACATTGTCGGTGGCGGTACCTTCACCTTGGAAATTCAGAGGACTAAGGCGACGTTGACCTTGAAAAGCAAGACCGGGAGCGTGACGCACGTTTACCATGGTACCGGATTAGAGAAGGGCTTGACTGGCACTTGGGTCGGTAGCTGGTAAATTTCCGTCTCGAAATCTCTGCCGTGCAATTTCCAGAAATATAGTCTAGTCATATGTACAATAGTTCTGCTCTGTTGACTAGCTATAAAATGAATCGTGTCGTTTTCCCTATTTCAAAAGGCAAGCTCACTCGTTTTGAAGGGGTTTTGAAGGGTCGTCCAGTCAACCATACAACCTGAAGGCATATATGGTCCTCAACTTGTTTGCTTGGCTTGAATGGGTACATCACTAGCTTGAAGCCCTTACTATACTCACAACTTGAATCCAGGAATAGAGTGACGACACCCTCAATTATTTTATCATTTCCCTAGCACCCGGCCCCATCCGTTGCAAAAGAGACAAACACCATGTATACTTGCACGCAATCGAATGTCTCGATTTTTGCCTCCAGCTAGTTACAATGCCCTCTAGCTACAACAGTGCTAATAGTACACAAAACGATGGTCATACCCTCGTAGTACAACCTGGATACTCGACATCGACATTAGTGCCGGTGGCTGGAGCAGGCCATAATGGCTGAGCGCTCCTGCACAATACGCCAAAGCAAACACTTAGACCGTGTGGACACGCCGTACAATAGACTATTTTTGCGCTTTGGACCACGACCGAAGCCACTTCCCTCACGATCGGCCCAAGCACTCGCGTCCACCGTCCGGAGATGGTCCCGCCGCTCTCGCGAATCTCCGACTCAGACAAAACAATGACTCGTCGGGCGCGGAAAGGGACTCAACCTGGAATGAGAAACGCGATCGAAGCGACGCCAGATATGCTTGGACGTTCCATAAAAAGACGTTGCGGGTGGCCCTCCTGTTGCCCTGGCGTACGTCCACCGTCCACAGTTTCCAAGAATGGCTTCGTCCACCGCTTATTCGAGTGTTTTCCACCACGTCCACAGGGTGGGATGTTGCGGTGTGGTGTGGCAGAAAGAGGGGAGAGGGGTATATAAGGAGGGTGGGGGAGGACGGAGGGAAGTAAATTCACATAAGGTAGAGAAGAGGTGCTAGTCATCTCTGAGAATACCGATCCCGAGTTTGGCTATCGTTCGTTGCATCAGCTCTTCATCCAACCCCGTCTTACATTCTGACCTCTCCTCTCTCCTCCCTACATAAGCTATCATCAACTGCCACAACTTCCAACCAAAAATCCACAAAACCACAAAAACTTGAATCACGCACACAGTTATAGACATGAACGCAGTACACGACACAGCGGATCTAGCTAGTCCGAACCCAACCTGGGAACTCGACGTTCTCGGCTCTCTCGGGCATGACTATTCGATGATGGCTGAGATCGAAGCTGGGGAAGACGTGTGGCATGGCGCAGAGGGAGAAGGCTTAAGGCTTGCGCGCCCATCGACGACCAACGTCCTCCCTCGTGACGTACGCTCTGCCATGCGTCGCTCGGATATGAAAGCAAGCAGACTGCTCGGAGTCACCGTCACCAGAGACGATGGCGCCCTCTTCGCCACCAACAACAACGCAAATGCGCGTCATTCGGATGAGAACATCGTTCCTCATTGCGCCCTTGGCATGAGGTCGTCGAATTCAAAAGCCAAATCGAAATCAAAAACACACGCAAAGAGCTCCTCGCTGTCGACGCTCGTGGGCGTGCTGAAGAATATGAATATGCATATGCGCATTGGGAAAGAGGTAGTGGGAGTTGGCAAGGCGAAGAAACGGTTCGGGAAGAAGGAGGGGCCGAGGAGAGTAGTGCTTGCTCCACTGGGACCGAATGTGAGTTCATCCATCGAGGAAGCAAGGGATAGGAATGGAAGGCTCGAAGTTAGTGATGGTGATAGCTGCTCTTACAGCGCATACCAGCAGCTCGACGACGGGAGCAGGAGCAGTGCCTGCGATAGCGTTATCGGTACCACCAGCGAATCTGAAACACTAGGGCGAGGAAACGAAGCGAGAGAGGATGAAATAGCGGCGGAAGCAAGGCCATTCAAGTGGGACGTCGAAAACCCGTTCGCAACGCCTACAAGCTCGCCGGTTCGGGTAATCATGTTTGAGAACATCTCGCCGCTGGATATATCTCAAAAGAGCGATGAAAACGCGAACGGGGATGATGGAGTGAAGGAGGAGGTAGAGGGTGCCCACGAATTTCACGTGGATATGGACTTGGAATTGGATAACCGTAGACGGGAGAGGCGAACGAGGAATATGACGCGCCGGACGAGGATGAAGACAATGCAGATTCTGGGTGCAGAGGCATTGGATGCAATTTTGAGCTTGGAGGAGGAAGCCTGAGGGCATGTGATGGAAACTTGGACCTGAGATGGAGAAAATTGGCATGGAGGGCCTCGAAGCCAGAAGATGATATTGTTGGATGATTATGACACTATGGACTTGTGACGACTTGTATGACTGTAACAACTCATGAAAATGACGGACATGCTATGAAAGAAATCGGTCATGAGTTATATGTACAATGCGATAGCAAGAGTGTATGGGCTCGTGTGCTCACTGATGATGTAGTGCACTGAATTACAGACCGTCTTTTCGTGGTTTCGTGGAACAGCGTTTTTTGTATTTGGATATTCAAGTTGCCGTTCCAAGGTCCTTCTCGGCGGAGAATAACTTATTGAGTAGCCAGCACATTCCCGTTGTGTGTATCACAAAGTACACATAGATAGAAACCTTCAAGTGGGGCCCATAAGCATAGACAAAGAGTGATCGACATGTTTTCTCCATTTATATATGCCCTATGACTTCTCACGATATTTGGTGCTCCATACATTTCGGCAAGTATGCCATGCCAGGGAATTCATTCAAAGCATAAGTTGGCTCACTGAGTACTGATTTTATAATGATATCGTCAATTTATTTGTACCGAATTGGTGGTGCAATTCTACATCACCTTTGAGGTTCGGAATATTCAACAAGACGACAACGATAATCCGACGTAGCGAAAGCACTGCAAGAGTAATTGCTGGCGCAGCGGTATGTCTTCTGAATTCCGCTAAGGCCGCCGGAACAGCGCAGTCTGAGCAATTGACATGATGAGGATTGCCGAGAGTCTGAAAATCTGTAAAGTGTAGAATATGATTTGCTGTGGGCCCAGCCAGCAGTGGTTGCCTAAAGACTATGATACCGATATTCAATGAGCTTGAAGAGATATCAGTCTGAGACTATCAGAATTGCGCGGGGTTCTGGCTAGTTTTGGTCTCCGCTATAACCAGAAAGAGCCGAATGCTTTACATAAAAAGCGAGTTCCGATTTTTACATAAGCGCAAGATTTGCAACAGTGCCGACCCTAACCCTAAAAAAGTTGTTAGTGTGACTGTGACTGTGACGCCCCGTTCTAGATTTTTCCTCGCTGAGCATTTTTATTCCCGTTCTCATTCCCTTCCATCCAAAAAGCCGTCGCGTTTTTCAACGTTTCGTCCTTCAACCTCTTCTTTTCTTTCTTTTGTAAAAAGACATGCACTCCCTGTCGACCTCGTCTTCAAGAGCCCTCCGCCGTGCTGCTGCGAAGGCTGCAAAGCCATCGTTAGTCCGTGGTGCCCACAAGGAGATCAAGTTTTCCAACGAGGGCCGTGCGAGTATCCTCAAGGGTGTTGACGTGCTTGCGAACGCTGTCAGCGTTACGCTCGGTCCTAAAGGTTTGTTCCATTCTAAGTGTTGCTGAGCACCGGAGAGCTGAACTGTCATTGTGTCTAGGTCGTAACGTCATCATCGAGCAGTCGTTTGGTGGCCCAAAGATTACCAAGGGTATGTCGTGTCGTTCTCACATACATATATTTTATAATTCTGACGGTTTCGTTCTGTGTTTTGTCATCATGGTTTAGATGGTGTCACTGTAGCCAAGTCTATTACACTCAAAGACAAATTCGAGAACCTCGGTGCTCGGTAAGCTTTGGAGTTGTTGCGTTTACGCATATACTAACGTCTCCTTTCAGTCTTGTCCAAGATGTAGCTCAAAAGACCAACGAGATTGCCGGTGATGGTACCACCACCGCCACTGTCCTCGCTCGTGCTATCTACTCTGAGGGTGTTAAGAATGTCGCCGCAGGGTGCAACCCCATGGATCTTCGTCGTGGTTCCCAGGCTGCTGTTGACCGCGTCGTTGAGTTCCTCTCTGCCAACACCAAGACTATCACAACCACCGCCGAGATTGCCCAGGTCGCGACTATCTCTGCCAATGGCGACATCCACGTCGGCAACCTCATTGCGCAGGCCATGGAAAAAGTCGGAAAGGAGGGTGTTATCACTGTCAAGGAGGGCCGCACGATCGAGGATGAAATCGAGATCACGGAGGGTATGCGCTTCGACCGCGGTTTCATTAGCCCTTACTTTATCACGGACGTGAAGAGCCAGAAGGTCGAATTCGAGAAGCCTTTTATCCTCCTTAGCGAGAAGAAGATTTCGCTCTTGCAGGACATTCTGCCATCCCTAGAAGCTGCTGCACAAGCTCGTCGCCCTCTCGTAATCATTGCGGAGGATGTTGATGGTGAAGCACTCGCTGCATGTATCCTTAACAAGCTTCGTGGTCAGCTCCAGGTGGTTGCTGTCAAGGCACCAGGTTTCGGTGATAACCGCAAGTCGATCCTCGGTGACCTTGCTATCCTCACCGGTGGTACCGTGTTCACTGATGAGCTCGACATCAAACTTGAGCGTGCCACCCCCGACCTTCTTGGGTCGACCGGTTCTATCACTATTACAAAGGAAGACACTATTGTCCTGAATGGGGAAGGCTCCAAAGATTCTATCCAGGCCCGTTGTGAGCAGATTCGTAGCGTTCTCCAGGACCCTACCACCAGCGAGTTTGACAAGACGAAGCTTCAGGAGCGTCTTGCCAAGTTGAGTGGTGGTGTGGCTGTCATCAAGGTCGGAGGAAGCAGTGAGGTTGAGGTTGGCGAGAAGAAGGACAGGTATGATGATGCGCTCAACGCTACACGTGCTGCCGTCGAGGAGGGTATCTTGCCTGGAGGCGGTGTTGCGCTGCTTAAGGCTTCGCTTTCGCTTGCTACCAACTCCCCTGGAACGGGTGGTCTACCTACCTCACCTGATGCCAAGGTTGTGCCTACTGCCAACTTCGACCAGGATCTCGGTGTAAACATCATCCGCCGTGCTCTGACAAACCCGGCTCGCACCATTTTGAACAACGCGGGTGAAGAGGCATCCGTCATTGTTGGAACTTTACTCTCCCAGTACGGTACCGCGGACAAGTTCAGTTGGGGTTATGACGCCAGCAAGGGCGAGTACGTTGACATGATCAAGGCCGGTATTGTTGACCCACTCAAGGTCGTGCGAACGGCTCTTGTGGATGCATCTGGTGTAGCCAGTCTGTTGACGACCAGTGAGGCATGTGTCGTTGATGCTGAGGAGGAGAAGCCAGCTGGTGGCATGGGTGGAGGCATGGGCGGAGGTATGGGAGGCATGGGTGGAATGGGCGGATTCTAAGCGGAAGTACACGACTGACGGCCCTGGTGTACTGCGTACTTCCAATGTTTAAGCTTGGACGTTTAGCTGGGGTTGGCAGAAGACTTGATATGGAATCAAAAGTAATTTCATTCTTGCTTTATCATGCTCATTTATCCTCTTATGACTCACCAATACTCACTACCTTACTTATTGACATGGCTTCTACACCCACGACCAACCTCCTCCTTGCCTTGCATTTATTGTCAACCCTCCCCCCCTCATGATCATATATTCATAGTTATATTCACTGCTGTTCTGTTGTTCTTTAGAATCAATGCATCACCACTCACCACTCAATCTTATTATCTCCATGCGTGATCTGTGATCTGTTGTGCAGTGTAGATGGTGAGTTGTTGTGAAACCGATGATTGCGGTGTTTTTTGAGGCTGCAAGTTAATGTGATTCGTGTTCCTATCATATTGATACTTTGCAATGGTAACATTCGGCAGTGTAGGACTTTGGGCTGGGGCATCCGATTCTTATTAATGTAACAAGTACGCAGCCTTGTCTAACACCGCAATGGTACCTGCAACAACAAGCACTGACACTTGGGCCCATTTGTGTCAGCGGCCGTTGTGATTTCCATGTTTCGGTTACAACCGAATGGACTTGTGTATCTTACGAGTTTTAAGAAAATGATAAAGACCCAGCCGATTCGAATAATTCGAGGTAAACTTATCTCCTGATCTCTCTTCTACCTGATTTTTTTCATTCGCCTTGGATTGGAGAATTCTTAAGAATCCATAACCTTTCTAAAGACAGTGAGTACTTTTCTAATAATAAAAGCAAGGTGGCATCATTAGTACAACTGATGGTTAACAGCCATAACTGATACATAACTGGGAAGCATCCATACCACACCCCTCGCGCTTGCAACGTTTATATTTCGAAGGACCGCTTTCCCAGCTTTACTTAGCATTTCTTACCCCCATCGCCATCTGCACGTATCCCACCTCCTACCACCACCAACCCACGCCTATCGATCCATCGTGACGATGCCTAACCCCACCTCAAAACTTGATATCGCTGCCGGTGCTCTCGATGCAAACACAAAGGCGGCAAAAAAGGCGGAGGCTCGCAAGAAGTTTGAAGATGTGTTTGATAAGATTCGTGATGAGCTGATCGAGCGGTTTACGAGTGAGAATATGCCTCAGGATGCGATTGAGTGGTACAAGCGGGTGAGCCTATCATACTTTTCATCTTCATATCTATCATTTTACTTCCCTTCTGCTATGCACTTCCCATTCCTTATCGAGGGGCAGTTCAATTCATGTTGATATGTTGTTCGATCGGGTGATCGGTGGTGTGGAGCCATCCTATTTTCTCGGCGTAGAGTAATCTGAAGTCAGAGTATTGACTTACGTTGTTTTTGTTTAGAGTCTGGAATACAATGTCCCAGGAGGAAAACTCAATCGTGGAATGTCAGTCGTCGATTCGGTCGAGATCCTTAAAGGGAGATCACTATCAGATGACGAGTACTTCAAAGCCGCACTACTTGGATGGTGCATCGAACTGGTCAGTCCACGTTCAGTGTCTCACGCAAGTCATTCCCTAATCGACAAATCCATTGTGTGGTTTGAATCTTTTAGCTACAAGCGTTCTTCCTCGTTTCCGATGATATGATGGACCAATCAATCACCCGACGATCACAACCATGTTGGTTCAGGCTGGAGAATGTTGGTAACATCGCCATCAACGACTCGTTCATGCTCGAGATGGCCATCTACCAGCTCCTAAAAAAGCACTTCCGTCAGGAGTCATACTACGTTGACCTGCTTGAGCTTTTCCAAGAGGTGTGTCAAGCAGCCTTTTTGTTTTTTTCGGGAAGTATCACAATGACTGACGTCTTCGTTGCTTTACTCGTCAGACGACTTACCAGACAGAAATGGGCCAACTTGTTGATCTGATCACCGCTCCCGAAGACCATGTTGATCTGGGCAAGTTTTCCCTTAAGAAGTAAGCTTCTCTCTGCTTCTGACCCATTGTGTCCATCCTCTGATTTCCTTGCTACAGACACAACTTCATCGTCCGCTACAAAACTTCTTATTACTCCTTCTATCTCCCTGTCGCACTCGCCATGCACATGTGCCACGTTCCTGCCTCTTACACCCACTCTGGCAAGGTCGTCTCTCCCTACAAGCTAGCGCTCGATATCCTCCTCCCTCTCGGTGAATACTTCCAAATCCAAGATGATTTCCTCGATTACTCTGGCACGCCTGAGCAGATTGGGAAAGTCGGGACTGATATCATCGATAATAAATGCTCATGGTGTATCAACGTTGCTCTCTCGGTGGCGACTCCTGAGCAACGCAAGGTGCTTGATGAGAACTACGGGCAAAAGGACTCACAGAAGGAGGCACGCGTGAAAGCGTTGTACGAGGAGATTAACTTGCGTGAACGGTATCGCAAGTACGAGGAGGATGCGTACCAGCGAGTTACGAGTTTAATCGACACTATCCCAGAGGATGAGCAGGCCGGTGCGCCTGAAGGAACGGTGGTAAAGAGAGAGGTGTTCAGGAGCTTCCTGAACAAAATCTATAAAAGAACGAAGTAAACATATAGAGATTAGAAGATAACTGCTATGTTGAGTGCGTTGTATATGTTTTGTATCTCTTAATGACAAATACTATCCGTGTTGCAGTTTTAGTAATTTCAGATGCACTTCGGAGTCGTCGTGCGGAGTCTACAAGTGTGTTATACTTTAATGAAAGTAAGAAATAGGAAACGATGACTATTTTACTTCATTCAGCAGTTCTGCAAGCTTCAGAGCTTCCTGATCTCCCATCCCGCATTTCTCTCTTAACTCTTGAATAATGGGACCGTTTTCCTTTGTGACTTGTCTGGTCTTCTTTCCACATTGTCCATCGATGGTATGGACAACGTACGTAAACCACTCAAGCCTCTCCACATTCCAAGATGGCCTCCTGTAATAATCCCGTATCACATCGCGCATCTTTTGCTGGGAAACGTTGTAGACATCGGCATATCCGTTTCTCCTCCCTGTCGTTGATACAATGCAAGCATGCGCTTGTGGGTGCATCCCGTAACCCCTAAACGCGCTTTCGTTGTTCCTCCACCATTCCTCTAACTTATTACTGATCTGCCCATCGCTCATTTCATTCGCCGTAATCTCATTCTCTAGCGCAGTGATAGCGACGACGATAGGAACCTGCCCTCGACAAAACACTTCGTGGAAGAGTCTCCAGTTCTTCTGCGATGCTTCCTTGAGCCGCCCACGCATGCAGAAAATCAAGAGGCTGACGCCGCCCTGGGTGGACAAGGCTTGGACAAGCTGGTATAACTGCACTATGGCAGCTTGCTTTGCCACCTTTCCTTCCTCTCCCTCGTCCAGTCCTGCAGTATCATAAAGCATGAAGTCGCGGCCATGGATGTTTGCCTTGAACGCAGTGTATTGGAACGTACAACCGCTGGCTCCGCCGGAGATCATTGCGATTGAGTCACCTGCAATTAGGTTTATGATTGAACTTTTGCCAGCGCCTGTCTCTCCGAACAAGATCACGTTGGGCGGGTGCATATCTATCGAGTAGATGGTCTCTGTGAAAATAGTTGACTTTTCTCATCAGTGTTTATGTCGAATAATGGGAGCAGGACGTTAAACTTCACCTTAAAAGGTATGAAAATATGGTTACGATGTGAGATGTTCACAGTGGACGGCTAAGAGATTTAGCAGGAGTTTTCAACCCCCAAGCTCATATAAAAGTTATTCAGTCGTTACTTCAATTTGAATACAGGGCATCAACGTGTTGTTCCTTTGCCAATTCGAGCGAGATACCAGAGCATACAACCCTTAACCCTCCCACACTTTTCCCATCCAACAAAACATGTTCCTCATTCCAGATAACACGAAGCTGCCCTATTTGTCTGCGCCCATATATCAGCTATCAAGGCGTCTGTGATAGGAAGGCACTAACTTGCGAAAGCCTATTGGTAAGTGTTATCCCATCACATATTTCTAGCGCCCCAAGCTGCTTCCTACATATCGATCAAGGGTCCACGAGGCCCAGTGCAATTCCAGCTGACTAGGAGTGCAGAGCGCTTTGAAAACAATAACCTATATAAAGCAAGATGAGCGTCTCTTATTGTTGTTTGGACAAATTGATATTCTCACCTGTCCTCAGGGGGGCAAGACCGGACTCGCGATTGATGCCTTTAAGCACCATTGTATGCAATCAGATAAGGGGAGTCAGCGCTAATATCAACAAGCGCCAGGATGAAAGGAACGGCGGTGATTACGAGAGAGAGAAAAGTCTTTCAGAGGCATTTGATAGGGTTAAGATAAGAGAGGAAGTTTCATCTCTTCATGTCTGGGGGATCTCCTGAACTCCATCAACTGCGCTTCATAGAAACACACACCAAGGGAAAGCTCACAAGAAACATCACATGAACTTCTCGTATTCCCATTCCGCAGTTTGTTCGCTGATCAGACAGAATGGGTAACCAACGTGTAGGGTGGTTCGTTCTTCCGGCTACATGGCGCTATCAGTCCTTAGTTCTGACTCGAAATGGTGGGATACATACCCCACGAGTTTGTCGTGTTGAGCTGTGGACAAGCCCAGAAGGATGTTAAGGGCCAACTGTGTTCCTTCATTACAATTTCCCTGCTTCCATCATGACCACGGGATAGTCTTCCGACAATAAATATTCGGCATCAAGCGTCTTATATGTTACCCCTCCGCCCAGTCAAAAGTTACCAATCTGGACACCTCTAAAGTCATAAAACGCCTTTGAACCCATTCAAATATTTACGCACCTGTCGATATCGGTCAAGTTTATCGCATAGAATGATGTCTAGGATTTCGGTGAGCTATCGTGTCAAATAGATAGCAATAGTCGAGAGAACTCACCAGTAACGTAAGAATTTAACTAACAGCTACATACGACCATCCAGCTCACAAAAAGAAGAGAGAGTAGTCAGTCAAGGAGAAATCGCTCGGGGAGGAAGCTCTTATGAGAGAGTCACTCAAGAAAGAGTCCCTCGTAAAGACGCTCAAGTGGTCCCCCAAAGAGACGCTCTACAAGGAGGAGCCGCCCACAAAGACGCAGCTCATGGAGCTCCTCACAGAGATGCGGCTCAAAAAGGAGTCATTTACAGAGATCCCAATCAAGGAGTTAGTCACAAGGATGTCACTCGTGGAGAGAGTACACCCGGTACAAGCACTCATACAACCCCCAACCGTGCTATCCATCCAGATAAACCATTTTCTGAAGGGGAACATGGTTCAGGTGAGTGTAAAACTTGTCGTGAGATAAATACAACGAATCTCACTTTCTTTTAATAATGATACAGTAACCTCACCCTTTCCCCTCCAGCATTCTCTACAAAGCTCTCCCGCCATCGCCAACGTGCTCATCTTCGGTGAATCGGGAACAGGAAAGAGCTCGATCTTGAACATGATCGCCGGATCGGACATCGCTGTCACATCTAACAGCGCACTGGGCTGTACCTTCGAGAGCGTTGGATACACTGTCAACATCAATGGCTCCCCATACAGGCTCTGGGACACTGCCGGGTTGAATGAAGGAGAACAGGGTAGCGTCCCTGCAGAACAAGCAATTAGAAATCTACAAGACCTCGTGCAGAACATGAAAGAAGGCGTGTCTCTACTTGTGTATTGCGTTTCTGGAGGCCGTTTCAAAACCATCTTGAAGATCAACTATGACCTGTTCTATGCCATCATCTGCCAGGCAAAAGTTCCAATCGTGGTCGTGGTGACTGGACTGGAAAATGAGGACCCTATGGAGTCGTGGTGGGTAGAGAACGGGGCTGAGTTCAACAGGCGACAGATGGAGTTTGCTGGTCACGCCTGTGTGACTATAACTAGGGGAAGAGCGATGAGAGATGGAGGATACATATTCGACAAGGAATTCGAGGAATCCAAGATAGCCATGCGAGAACTGATTCAACGTTGTTGCTCCCCTACAGCATGGAAAGTCGACGGGCGACTCTGGTTGGGAGAGATAACCAATCAGCTGGCGACCTACAATGAAGTGAGGGAGAAAGGAACTGCTGTGTCTAGGACGAAGGAGTCACCTAATACCACTGCTGTATACGGTTTTTTGAAAACCGTCTTGAATGTGTTGGGATGGCTAACAGCACCAACACGAGCTGAAGAAAGCAGACAAACGCGTTAGTATACGCACTTGTATGGCAGGCCTGTAAAAAAAACTGGCTTAATTTAGCAATGTAGATAGATGCGCAGATGATGATAGGAAACATGCACGATTGCCTTGACGTAGTGCCACAGATTACGACGAGATGATCCAAGTAACAAAACTTTTTTTGCTACTGAGGAAACGGGGGCGTTTCATTCAGGAGCACCATATGGTCAACTATGCATAACATGTTTTTCTATTTTCTTGAGCCGTATAAACATAAGGAAAACTGGCGTCGAATGGCCTGGAGCTCTGAACCGAAAATTAAATCCATAAGAAAACTGACGAATACCTGTGTTTATCGTGTCACTTCTACATTTATTAACTTTAACTCTACAATGTCATGTCGCCTCATCATGGTTAGTCCCAATCTGTAGAAATTGTGCATGATTGAGTCAAAACTTGCTTAGTGATGAGATCTGACATACCTACCAGAATAAACGAGCTGCTAGACCACGCATGTCAAGTATTCTTCCTCACAAACGAGCTGATATCAGTGGCTCCAATACATCCTCACGGTTCGCGTTCCCGTAGTACGTCGGTAGTAAGCCCACGTAGTCCTTCCAGTGCTTGTCTGTCACAATTGGCGCAGAGACATATGGCTCTATGTCTAACTGGGACAAATATTCTTCGATTTGCGGAAGAGCGCGATTAATCACCGGATCTTCTCGTGCACACTGCTCAAGTGTAGGTCCATGGTTGATGCGCTGCACAACAGACTCAAACATATCGATGACGGGTTGCGGTAAACCAGCGTCAATTGCGGCAGAATATGCCAACGCGTGTCCGATCGCTGCGATAGATGACTCTGCCAGAGGTAAGAGGAGTCTGTTGAATGAGTCGCTGCGGTGGTCGCCAATATTGTCGTGCAAAACACGCTTGCACTCTTTAAAGTTCTGGAGGACGTTTTCCCACAAGATCGTGTTGGCATGACGAGGAGAAGGAATGGTATATCTGTCCAAAAGGAGCTCGGTGAATAGGCGTATGCAAAGCACAAGAACATCTCCTTCGGCGATGATGACTCCTCGACCATCAGCTTCCATACGGATCAAGCAATTGTGCTCGAAAGTCCTATCAAAATTTACGTGAGCATAAAGAGAAAAAATTTACATTGAACACAGACGGACCCTTGTGCACCACAACGTTCCGCAACTTCGCGAATGCAAAGCTGTGAAAGGCGGCTTGCACTCGTCTTCAAAATAACAGCCAGCCCATGTCTGACCCGATGATCAAGACTATCATTCATTAAATCCTTTATGCAGCGAGGAAACCAGTTATGGAGAACCATTGCACATGCAATGGCTTGGAGGACAGGGCGCTGTTGCGTGCGGAAGGTCAGGATAGAAACAGGCGCTGGGCCTTTCCCCATGATCATTCGATGTAGAGAATACTGGCCACCAATATATGCTGCGTGTCTAACTCCCTGTATGAGAGGAGCAGCCACAGCAGCCGTTCCTAAGGGTATTCGCCACATCTCATCCCACCATGCTTTCAATGGGTCTTCAGGTAGCCCAAGATCGGCTCCTAGTAAGGCACTATGAGGCAACCGAACATTATTGAAACTTGTAATAGAAAAATCGAGCGGAGATGACCCTGTGCGAGGTGGGAGTCTTGTGGAGGTAATTCCACTGCACATCTGTCGGGTATCGCATATGGGCACGATAAAGGGCCGAACACCTCGATCAGAGCCAGAAACGATCAATCGCGCCATCACAACCGCCACCTTTCGAACACCATACAACGGGGTTGTCGCGGGCATCCATCTATGAGATTGTGGTTAATGAATCTGTTCACGTGATACCAAAATAGAGTCGTATTACTTCGCTGCCTCCTCTCGAGGAGTATTGAGAATGAAATGATGTTCAGTAAGTGTAGCAGTTGTTTCAATATTGAAAGCGTCTAGTCCGTGACCTCGCTCGCTCAGTAAATAAACGCCGACAATATCAAGTCGTAGGAGTTTTTCGATAAGAGACTTCAAATCATCCCTAGACTCTGCAAACTTTGCAATAGTACCGATCGTGAGTCCAACGTGAGCCGCCAAGATGGTGTAACATGCGATGTCTGTTGCCATGATGGGATCGGCTTGCAGAGCCCAAAATTTAGGAGAACAATGCAAAACGTCCGAAGCTGTAAGATCTAAAATATATTGTCACATTGACATCAGCTAACTCTGCATATGCAACAAGGGGTAAGGGCACTAGCCATGCGTATTTAACAGTAGCTTAGCTCGTTTGTACGCAAGGACGACACGTTGGTCCCAGCTAAGGAGCTCAACGTTCATTTTGAACAGGGGATGATCACACAAGATACCAGCCATAGGTGATCTTGGCTGAAGGACGCGGATATGTTGACATACATTGTTTTTTTTTGAATCGTGGCCTTAAATTGTGTGATTCGTGGCACAACATGGTGTGAATCAGCAAGATGTAAATTCGCACCGGAGATTGATGTGACATCGTGGCAGCAGTAAGAACCAGGTCAGATTTTGATGCGGAACATGTCAGCCAAGAAATGTGAGTTTGAGTTCTACGTTCGCAGATGCAGTGGCCATGGATAGATCTGTCGATATGGAGTCCACCGTGCCATTGTCCTCAATCAGGGCACACATTCATAGAAGATAGCTTACCTCCAGAAGCACTAGAGTGATAAACGTGTAAACGACATCGTAGGACATCATCGCATCATGATGGAAACACATGATCATGATACCCGGTTTATCACTGATAGTTATTTCAAGTCCACCCTCTGGATGCCAGATGCGCGGGATTTGACGTATAATATTTGATAGCTAGAGCGCCCATTACAGAGGTTAACCGCTCGATATTTAGGCTTTTGTTGAAGCAGCCTGATTTCCAAAGAGACCTTGCTAGTGAATGAGTAAAAAAATTGGGAGGGTGATACCTGCAAGCTGTTTCAGTCAAAACTGTATTTGGGATAAAAAGGATGTGTGACAACGAAATTCGGCTCCAATCGAGACCAAAAAAGCAAAAAAATTATCCCAGCGGCGGTTTCCTTCGCGAACAAACTTAGGAGCCCTGACCAGCGCGTCTTTTCTTCATGCAGATACCATGGCCATCACCAGGCGTTCCGCTCAAACGACCCAGAATCAACATAGTCTTGGTAACGAAACAAGTACAAAATCATGTACTTAAAACAAGGTACTCTCACTGCGCAAGAATACTTTGTAAAATTCAAAGCAACCAGACAACGCGCAGGATACAATGTGAAAGGGAATGAACAATTCCTGATCACATTGATCAGAAACAATATCAATGCTCCATTGATTAAACAAATCATCTACTCGGGAAACATCCCAAAAACATACACAGAATGGAAAATGAGGATCATCACCAATGATCAATTATGGTGAGATCAAGCAGAGAACGAGCGGATGATGAAGGGTATGGCCAGCGGCAGCTCTGGTTCTGGAAACCGGGGACCCAATGGTTGGTACCGAGGAGAGGGCACTTCGGAGAAGAAGGCCGAGACAATGGAAGATAAGAAAGATGGGACTGGAACCACCTATTGTCAGGCAACAAATACGAAGCTATATAACAAAGCTCAATGTCTGGTCAAGTCCTTCCTTGAAGGCGGTGAATCAGAGTATGAGAATGAAGAGTATCGGTAAGAGCGCAAATCCAAACTAATATTGAACTGGAGAACAATACATCAAGTATGTACTTCTCTATATAGTGAACGATGATGGTCAGACCGAGAAAGGGAAGTACTGAGAAAGTGGTCTGACCAGCTAGCTAACCAATAAGAAAAAAAGGAAGAAAGTGGTCCGATCTATCGTCTTTACTAATCGTACGAGAAAGCGTATTGGTAAGGGATGTACGATTGGCTGTATCAGTAAGCCCATGAGAAGGCGCTGACTCACAACCTTCTTCGCTTATCAATATTCCTCCGAAGTATTCCCAGACATAGCACTGGATCGTGACTATGTCATCTGGATATCTTCTCGAGGGTCGACAACGAGTCTACCTCGTTGTAGGTACGATAGAACGTGAGTGTGAAGAGAGAATAAGAAGAAAAATGATAAAAGTAATAAGACACCTGCTGTAATCTCTAGTCCAAGGGCAAGAGGAGTGACGGGGATTGAGTCTGCTAACCACGACATGACGGGAATGCGATAAGAAAAATCGATTCCTCACATTAGCTCCCCTTTTATGAGACTCGTGTCCTCATGAGTCCGGATGCGGCACTTTGGAACTTGTTACTAATCCAATCAAAGAGCATGGGAGGTTTGGAAGTGGCGGTGTAGTTTTCGTAAGGACGGAAGTGGAGAGAAGCGGTAATAATCCGAGGGGCGGCTGGATTTGTTATATGGAAGGCGGCGAGTAAGTCAGCGACATGCGTAAGATTGGTGTCGGGTTCCCAAGTTCGTTCGGAGACTGGATAACCATGCCAGTGAATGAGGTAGTCGAGTTTACTACCTTTCAGTTTGGTCGGTCTGGAAGCGATTATACTCTCTACTTCGTATTCCTCTATTCCTTCCACGATCTCGGGTGGTGGTCGCGAGGAAATTGGTTGATTGATGAATTCGGGAGCGTGGTATGGGGAGAGGATGGCTTCGTTGAACACGGGATGAATGGACTTCCAACTTTTAGGGATATCGAGTTGATAGGCGGAGGGTCCGACCTTTTGGGTGACTTTGAAAGGTCCAAAGCGTTTATCGTCTAATTTCTTCATTGGTCTATCCGTTGTGATGTTATGCCCTTCTAACCAGACTTTGTCGCCAGCTTGGTACTCCCGGGAGGGGGATTTCTTACGGTCGTAATACTTCTTCAGATTCTCGTTTGCTACAAGAAGGGAGGATTTCGTGATATCGTGGAGTTTTTTCATTTGTTCGCTAAATTCTGCTGCAGAAGCGGAGCGAGGGGATAACGTGGTGGTGATATTCGTTCTTGGGTGTAACCCATAGTTCAAAAAGAAGGGTGTTTGATTCGTTGCGGTATGGAGGTGGTTGTTGTATGTAAACTCAGCAATGGAGAGCCAGTCTGCCCAGTCATCTTGTCGATGATTTATAAAAACGCGGAGGTAGTGCTCTAGATCCTGGTTGATCCGTTCAGATTGTCCGTCTGTTTGAGGGTGATAGCCTGTAGAGAGGCCTGGTGTTATCCCCATTAGGTCGTAGAAGTCTTTTGTGAATCGAGACATGAACTGAGGACCTCGATCGGAGACGATCTTTTCAGGAATTCCGTGGAGTCGTATTACATTATCTCGGAGTTGACGTGCATAACCGGCCGAGTCGAGAGTGACGAAGGTGGGGACGAAATGGGCCATTTTACTAAATCGGTCAACAAAGACCTGAACGGCGGTGTAGCCCTTGGATTCCGGTAATGCGCCGATGAGATCGGTGGTGATAACCTGCCAAGGCCGATCTGGTATCGGGTTCGGGTGTAGAGGGGCGTTAGTCTTTGTCCGATGTGCCTTGGTGCGTTGACAACTCTCGCATCCCCGTACATATCGTCTGATATCTGTACGAAGACTCGGCCACCAGAGCTCTCGGTTTACTCGTTCAAACATCGTTCTTTCTCCTGGGTGCCCGGCTAGGGCTTCGTCGTGATGATCTTTCAATATTCGCGCCCTTAGTTCGTGATTTCGGGGAACATATACTCGGTCAGCTAAAGGGATCGGGTAGGAACTCGTCGCGGACTCTCTCTTGATCCAGACAATCCTATCCTTCATCTTCCAGGTATCCGGCTTCTCTTTCAAGTTCTTCCTTACTACGTCGTCTTGTTTCTGGAAGCTTTGACGTATATCTGGTAGGTATCCTTCGTTGGTGTCAAGTAATTCGAAATGTACGTCTGGGAGAAGTATCTGATCTTCGTTATCGTTTGTGCCTTTAGGATGATCGATCCATCTGCTTAACAGGTCGGCTTTCGTATTCTGATTTCCTTTGACGTGTTCCATCTTAAAATTATAATCTGCAAGCTGGGATGACCATCGAGCTTGGCGTCAATTGTATTTCTGCGGTTGACGGAAGTAGAGGAGGTTTTGGTGATCTGTGAAGATGGTGAAGGGGTGTTTCGATCCTACAAGGTGATGTCGCCATTCATCTAACGCCGTCATGACTGCGAGCATTTCTTTGTCGTAAATTTCATAGTTCCGTTCTGCAGGGGTAAGGGCTTTCGAGAGGAACGCTATGGGTCTGAATTTGTCGTTTTGTTTCTGGGATAGGACGGCTCCTACAGCGAAGTCAGAGGCGTCGGTTTCTAGTTTGAATGGGTCGTCGTCGTTTGGTATAGCAAGGGTGGGGGCAGTAGTAAGCGTTTTCTTCAACGTTTCAAAGGACGTCTCTTGTTCGTCTTTCCAGGTCCAGTCAACTTTTCCGGTGAGCACAGTGAGTGGTTTCGCAATTCGTCCGTAGTCTTTAACAAATCGTCGATAGAAATTGGAGAACCCTAAGAATGATTGGAGTTCCCTTTTGTTCTTTGGTGCGGGCCAGTCAGCGACCGCTGCGACTTTTAACGGATCCATACGGATAGTGTCTTTGGAGATGATCATGCCTAAGTACTCGACTTCCTGTTTCTCGAATTCGCACTTCTCTGGTTTAAGATACAACTGATTTTGTTGCAGGATACGGAGGACTTTGGTGACTATTTGACGATGTTCTTCGAGTGTTTCCGTGAAGATCATAATATCGTCTAAATATACAATAACTTTTCCTTCCGTGATCAGTTCTCTTAGGAGGTGGTCCATCATGGTCTGGAAGGTTGCTGGCGAGTTGGTAAGTCCGAAAAACATGACGAGGGGTTCGAACAGGCCGCGATTGGTCCTGAAAGCGGCCTTGTGTTCGTCTCCTTCTTGGATTCGGACGTTGTTGTATCCCCATCGTACGTCTAGTTTTGTGAAGTAATTGGCACCTTTGAGTTTATCGATAAGTTCGGATATGAGGGGGAGGGTGTAGCGATTCTTTATGGTGAGCTCATTCAGCTTGCGATAATCTTGGACAGGGCGTAGTGAGCCATCTTTCTTTTTGATAAAGAAGAATGGTGATGCGTAAGGTGATTTGGATACTCGAATCCGTCCACTTGTTAGATTTTCGTTAAGGAATTCGTCTAGATGGTGTTGTTCGTCTCGGCTAAGAGGGTACGTTTTGCAGTCAAGACCATTAGCTTCGGGTATTAACTCGATTGCATGGTCCCAAGGACGTTTCAGGGGAAGTTTGTCGAATGATTCTTTGGTGAAAACGGGTTCGAATTCATGGTAGATTGGAGGAACGACATCTCGGAAAGTAAGCTTTGACTTTGCCTTTTCGGAGGATTCGGCGATTTGTTGACTTTTAGTGGCAAATGCGTTCAATTCTAGCTG